AGCAGATGCCATAAATGATCTATCACCTAAAGTTTTCTTAGTTATGGTCCTGGGTGGCAATGATTATAGTTCTGACTGAGATCGTAACATCATACGTCCGAATTGTTGCTTAACGTTAATTAGATCCGTAATGTACTGAGGTGCCAGCCTGTGGATAGCCTTGAACGCTAAAATAAGTAATTTAAATTCAATTCTGAAACAGACAGATAATCAATGCAAGGAAAACAAAGTAGGAGTTATATGACAAAAACGAGGAAGGGAACAAACAAGACGGGCAGCATTGTTCTGAATACGTTGCAACTTGTTGAGATGTGCGGCTGGTAGACCATACAGCAAACCATTGCAATAATCAATACGTGCGGTGATGAATGCATGCACGAGTGTTTTTGTGGAGTCTTTAGATAAATAATTTCTGATGCGTCTGGTGTTATACAGGTGAAATGACAAGGTCTTACACATCTTGTTTATATGACAGCCCATGTTCATGTTTTCATCAAACCACGATCCAAGGTTTTTAACGGCAGTCACAGGACTGATAGTAGCGTCACTAACGACCAACCGCTTGATGTCAACTTTAGTGAGCTGTTGTCTCGATCCGATTAGTATAAATTCTGTCTTACTATCATTTACTTTAAGCTTGTCTTTAATCATCCAACATCTGATGGCGCTGATACAGCGTTCCATAGCGTCCACTGCGTTGCTTTGAGAAGATGTAGTGTCGGGCTTAAATTATAAATACAATTGAGTGTCATCTGCGTAGGCGTGTGTCCGAGGAAGATGACCTAACAAATTAAAGAAGCTCTTAATCTGAATTTAATGCTAAATACTGTGAGAGTTATTAAAACTTTCAGCTAGTATCAAAGATAAGCATTCATGCTCCTTATCGAGAGAGGTAATTAAAAAGGATTCCTATCGATCGTTTAGGGTTCCACCATCACCCCACTCATGGTGGTCTGCAGCCTTCAGTTACTCAAATAACTCCAAATAACTGAACAATTGCTACATCTAGTTTTGGAGACTACAGTACGCCATCAAGGAATTTGTCGCCGAAAGTTCGAGCCGTTCAAAACAATACATGCCTCGAAAATTCGCGGAAATGTCGTCGAAGTTTCGTTTCGGTCAAGAATTCGTCGAAAAGCCAGGAATTTCGCCGAATTTCGTCGACAGGTGTTTGCATTACTTTTGCACAATACTGTATCCATCCAGTTGAAGAGATGCAGGTCGACGTAAAAGACTTGAATATTTCTGGATAAGCACGTGGAGAAACAATGGATGAGACAGGTTTGCTCATGATCTCTGAGATAACCAGTTGCTTATTCAGTGATAATCATTTGAACCAAAGTAAAATTTTCGCCGGAACTGAGTTGGTTTGTTATTTCTCTTTTCCTGTATGTCGATATCCAGATAGTTAATCCAGAAGGTCTTCGTGATCAATATTTTTATGAGCCCGCTGTGTTTCTCCCTCACTATTCAATAACAATTAACTGATTTGCAAGATCAACGTTACTAAACCATATCTAGAAGCTCAGTAATTTATATCACAAAGAATTCGTTGCTCATTCTATAAAAGTTCCCTTTCTTTATCTGATCTCAAAACTAGTTAAGCGTGATGCATTGCGCCATTCGTGATCTCGCTGGCGAGATGGGCTTTAACGTGACGAAAGTTGTAGAGTTACATTCATAATCGAATCCAACCCAAGCTGTTCTGAAGGACTGTTGGAATGTTATCATAGAGGACTTTATGGTCAACGTAGACCAAATTGGATCAAAGCCGGATGCACAAGAAGAAATTGAAAAATGGAAGAGTGAAAATTGCTAATGTGTAAGGTGCAACAATTAGCAACTGGATCGATATATTTATTAACACTTTTCAAATCGTACTTAGTTGCTTTCCTCTTGGCTTGCATCGTTTTAGATTAGTATTATAATGAAGAAATGTATCGATAAGCTGGAAACCACTCCGCTTCGCGTCGTGGTTTCTTACGCTTATCTCGTGTTCTCCCAATCTCCCGCGTGTTTACATCAGGCTATGTAAACACGGAAACCATTTTACATTTCTTTTATAAAATAACTAATGAAAGAGGAACGAAAACCGTTTACATACGCTCATGTAAAATGGTTTATGGCCAATCAGAGCGCGCGTACTATTTGAATTATTTTATAAAACCTTTTGGTTGCCCCCTTTTTTAATATTATATCACTTCTTTCGTCTTAAGTTTGCCTATATCCGGAACGAGGAAAACAAAGCCCTCTGCAGTTGAGGAAATAACGATATTGATCAATTGGATCGTATCTCTGACTGTAATTCATTGACGCCGTGGATATGTCCTTAATGTTCAAAGAAAGCCTTCTAGTGAGCGCTGAATACACTAATCTCTTAACAAGGGCCAATATTCAAGCAAAGTTAAACCTGCTTTCCTCATACGTTCTTGTAATTGTCCTCTATTTCAAATCTGTAAGTTAAAGTTTTGGCTGATGGGATCGTATCAAATAGAAGTTTAACTGATAACTAATAATATTTGGAAGTTATTTTTTAACGTGATAAAAGATTGTCATAAAGTTGTGGAGAACTCTGATTCTTAATTACTAACACTACTGGCTTTATTGTTCCTTTAAAGTTGCGCGGGCGTAAAGGGTCGTGCCGCAAATGTAAATGTATACGATTGATTCCCTTTTCTTAGACCCGCCGTATACGAAAAAACGAGCGGCACTGGGAACAAGTATACACCCGGCTTCTTGTCTTTCCCAGCTATTCTTTCTTTTCCTCTTAAGAAACCTTAGCATCCGTCTTAGCTTCGCAGTTTATCGGCGAGAAGCTGTGAAAGCAATATCGACAGAGAGCTACTTTGAGAACACACTTCTTTTCATGGCCAGTCAAGTGTAGACATGTTCACAATCCATGGGATTTTTCCCGGAAACTCTCGATGTGTTAACAATATAAGGGTTTTTCCCTTTTCCTTTTCGTCTCGATCTTGGTCACGCTTTGGTTGTTAAAAGTGTGTAGCAATGAATATTCGATGGTTAAAGTTGCGATGTTATTTTTGGTTTTATTTACGGCTGGAGCATCAATAATTTCATGTCATTGTCCGCAGTGATACGAAACATATTGTAGAGCTGATTCAATTTTCCTGTGTTTGAATTTTAGCATTATCTCATCAGGCTCCACTTAAGAATCTTCAGTTTCTAGAATATTGAGAAGTTAGAGCTCTTTTTCTTTATTTCTTGAAGGATTTCTTTGACAAATTTTTATATTCATTAGGTATCTTATTCCAGACTTCGACACCAACACGCGAAAAGGCCTTTCTTTGCATTTTAAGCCTAGAGTACTTAACGCTAAAGAGTTGTGGCGTTGATGAGCGAGTAATATAGGTATGGATGTTTGAAGTTCTCGTTAAACGTTTCATGATGTTAGAAGGTGCACTATCGTTATGAACATCGGGCATTAATTTAGCTACAGCTTCATAATATAAGAAGGTAACAGGCAGAATTGTTTCATTTACAAATAAGGGGATTGCATGTTCTTTTCTATCAACGAAGTAGATTAGACGTAATATATACTCGCTTTTGGAGAACAATAATTTTGTGTATATAGTTTTTAGACGCATTACCTCAAGCAACGAGTCCATAAGTAAAATAAAGTAAAATTAAGGATTTATTAATATTTATGAGTACAGATGATGGAACAAAGTATCTCAGCTCAGCAATCATAGCTATGGTCTTACTTATTTTTGTGATGACACAATTCACATGGTTTTTCCAAGAGAGATTTATCTCTTATGTTCTAAACTGACTCTTCTATTTTTTTTTTCACCATCTAATAATTTACATGGAAAAATTACTCAGTTCTGATTGGTTAAGATAAATGCAGTTTTCAGGTAATTCAGTGCAAAGAAAGTAACAAATCAGATATTCTGATTGGTCAATAATCAAAGAAACTCACAGATAGCTAATCAAATGCGAGCCTTGGATGTCGCAACAAAATTTGAAAATTTGAACATTTCCGAGCGAAACAATGGCCGGCGTTTTAAGTAGGTTTTCTTTCGCCACCGCAGCTGAAAAACAGCTCAAACAACGAAAACACTGTAAAAAGCACTGCTTTTTGATTGTCAGTTTGGAAAAAGTGGTGTTTAGAGAAGGTAATTGCCGAGGAAATCGAAAATTACGAGCCGACCCAGCTTTACACTTTGCTCGAGCGATCCAACGCCGAAATTAAAAATAAACATGGTTAAACCTCGAAAACGACGATTCCATTTCATCGAAAGTGATACGGACACAGACTGAACAATTGCTTTAACTTTTTTAGCCGGACTTTCAACTTTTTTGCGCCTTAAAGATGTGAAGATACCACTGCATATTATTGTTCTGATTGTACGTTGTTGTTGACCAAATGCACGGTTTGAATAAACTAGTTTTGCACTTGATGCGCGCGCTTTGCTTATGCCTAATTATGATAAGCCATCTCGCATTTTTCCTTGTATATTATTAACACGTAATCACATGATTTTTCTCGTGCAATTTGGAATAAATAAGCACTTGTTAATTTTTTCAAAGAGTCTTTAAAAAATTTATTCGTGCTTATTTATTCCAAATTGCACTCGAAATCATGTGATTACCTAATGGCACAGGTAAACTGTCCTAATAGGAGTCAAACGTACAACCTCCCGATTGTACTTAATTCGGGTGCTTCACTGACTGAGCGAAAGGAGACTCGTGACAGGCCGGCTCTGGGGCGTTTAACTAGGACCATGGTGTCAAACTTCCTTCCGCAAAGGATAGTGCGTCAGTATACCCAGTACTACAAAGAGACTGGATTTGAGGCGTTCAGCGAGCGGACGATGCTGCGTGTTGTAAATGAATGCAAGTCCTCGACCAGAAAGGCTCTCCAAGGCCTTGACTATTTCGCAGCAGACGGGGCGCGTGCGTTCGATGGACTAGAAGGCTTGGTTCTTCAAATGGGGGAGCTTGGTCTTTGAAAGGAGTGGCAAGTGCGATACGTGAAATCATTAAAGGTGGCCAAATTCTACCTGAAGGGTGATTTCAAGGTAAGCAACCGAAAGTGTCAAGAGTTCCAAAAAAATTGGATTATGTTTTTCAAGCAGGGTGATCTTATTTCACAAATGGATGGAAGTATAGCACGAAAAAAACCGTTCCGATGACAGATCCATCCTGACCGGGAAATATACGTCGGTTTTTGCTCTTGGTATTCGTTTTTTATCAGTATAAATTATGCTTGTAATAGATTTTATCTACTCTATAGATTTTATCTACTTTATCTAGATTATTGAGGTTATTCGATTTAGATAACATAAAGCATGCATATTGCATATATTTTTTGTCGTTAATGTTGCAGTAACATGGTCATCCATGCTTTGTGTCAAGCTGTTTCCTATTTTCCCTCAGGTTCACGTGAGCTCTTCTTTTCCCGTTGCAAGTCATTGCAGTGTATTTGCTCTGAGTGACTCCGAAGATTCTGACCTGCGGCAGCAATGCAAACACAACCATGACGAGCTCTGTGACCAATGTGAAAGCTTGCATGCGACCCTGAACGACATATCTACTGCGGTCGATGAAGCATCTTTTACCACAGAAGAAGACAAAGACGAAGCTTTGTTTCTCGTTAGCTCTGCTACACTTGCCATCCAGTCATGGAAGTGCCATTTGCTGAGGTCGACCCATCAAGATCAGGCTCGTTTGGACGTCATCGATGCCCTTAATTCTGGAACAGTATTCATTGTAAATGACTGGGCCATGAAGTTCTTGCCTCAGAGATACCGCGAGTCACAGAAAGACTGCTTTGGTAAGCGGAGTATTTCTTGGCACATATCTGTGGTATACAGACGGATACAGGGTGTGCTACAGTGGCAAGCCTTTATCCATGTGATTCAGTCCTGTACCCAAAGAAGTTCTGCTGTTACCGCGATTATGCAACATGTTCTAGCCACATTGAAGCAAGAGTATCCTGAAACAAGGCCTACTTCAGGCAAGATAAAGCCGGCTGTTACCACTCCTTCCGCACGTTAACGAAGTGCCAAGAAATTTCAGCGAACACTGGAGTGAAGATAGTCCGCGTTGATTTCAGCGACCCTCAAGGCGGGAAAGGGGCTGCAGATCGACTAGCTGCGAGCTGTAAAAGCCACATTAGGGCGTTTATTAATGAAGGCCATGATGTCTGCACCGCCAGCGACCTGAAAGAAGCTCTGCTATCCCATGGCGGTTTGGAAGGTGTACGAGTGGTTTCTCTGGATACCATCGAAGAAACGCCAGACGATGCGCAAACCATTACAGGAATCACCAAGTTGAACAAATTTGAGTTTAGTTCAGTGGGCTCTATTTCCTGTTGGCGCGCATATTCCGTCGGGCAAGGGAAAGTGATCAAAATAGAAAAATCCTCTTCTGGTGAGTTAATGATTCTTGAATGAGCCCAGGCCTTCCTGTTAGTTTATGATAGTCTGTTCTGTAAGGTTTCTCTTAATAAGGGAAAAATTTTATCCGCAATGCATCATAAAAGACTTTCCATAAGAGGTTAAATGTTTACAAAACGCTGCTCAAACAAACAAAACACAAGAAAAAGGGGTGAGTATTTAAAACCCCCCTTACACGGTATTCTGTCGTGGGCTGCCTTTGAGGGTTACACGTTGATGAAAGATAATAATTTCTTAGCTGTGTGGCTGTCATATTTATATTTCTCTTATTTCTTTTGAAGGTCTTGGACAAGGGATTCTGCAGCCATCATTTTCTGCAGGAGATTTCCGTTCCTATAAAAGTACCCCCCACAAATCGTCAGGGGAAGAAAATGTGGCTGAAGAGATAGCTTCCATAGAACGTGGCCAGGCAGCAGGGGTATATTAATGTCCTCAAGACGGCTGCACTCGTGTTTTTCAAAGGCTTTCAGCCTAAGAAAGGCACTTGTCACTTGAAAAATGTACCAGGGTACCAGAAAAACATTCTTTGATGGACCTGGCAAAAATTGGCTACAAATCATACTTGGAGGAAGGTGTGGGAAAGCTGCCATCGCTTCAAGCCCCTGTACGACAGGAAGATTCTCGTGTTTCTCTGAAAGAAGGATGGGCTCTTAGAGTAGTAAGGAAGGCTTACAGGTTCAGTGAAAAGCAAAAGTCGTACCTGTTATCTAAATTTCGAATAGAGCAGACCACAGGCCACAAGCTTGACGCAGAGGTAGTTGCTCGAGAAATGCGGCGTGCCCAGGGCACCGATGGTGCACGACTATTCCAGTCATCGGAATTCCTCACAACCACCCAGATCACCTCCTTCTTCTCAAGACAGAGTGCCTTAGTACGCCAGAGAGATCCTGATGAGGCTGATATCCGAGCAGCTCAAGAGGAGAGTAATTTTAACGAAGCAAAGGAGACTGTCGCGTCAATACAACTTGACCATCCCCTGATCTACGATCAGTACGATCTTTGTGAAATGGCGCTAAATGACTCTTTGAAGATCTTGAAGCTACCCATGTTGCAGCATATGTGTGAAAGACCTTGGCCTCGATATACCATCAAAGCCCATGCGTAAAAAGGCCCCGATTTGGCTCTACTGAAAGAGATTGTCAGCAAATGTACTTGCCAAAAGTCATCGTGATGCTGAATTTCTCTTTAGTTTAGCAGAATAGAAAAGTGAGGAAGAAACGAATTAACGGTGACTCGTTCCTAATCGTCAGTTACTAGTTATCTCATTTTTAAAGCTCGTAGAGTAATAAGAAGTTCTTTCGTTTTGTTCTGTTTTTCTTTTAATCATGCCAATATTGACCCTCACTTTCCTTTTCTGGTCTTCACATCGGTAATGAAGTTTACTCATCTGGTAGCCGACACATGCAAACTGACAGACGTGAGAGTGTTTAACCTATATTTCTCTCCGCTCATTTTGAAATGCGGGATTTCTTTCTATAATTTAACGACATCATTATTTCATTTGCGGTTTCTACGCGGGTATGTTTCAGCACCCCCGACACGTTTCCAATGGCGTTACGTTGCGTGACATTGATAATCACTAGGATAATAGGAACTGTCGCCTTGCATTTAATTACTTTGAAGGTCAAAAGTCGCCTTTCCATGTATTTATACCAACAGAAAATGAGTTCTCAGAGTAAAAGATAAAAAAAATATCTAATTTATCAGCATGGAATCAAGTACTAATCTACCTCGAATGTATCTTGTGCACTACTTGAATGTGAGATGGTGCTAATGTAATATGTACTTCACTTGCAGATTTTTAGCCAAAAAATATTTTGTAGAACCTTTCCAAATATCTTACGGAATAGTTTACTTGTCACTTTACATTTTCCAAGCTACAAACCGACACAGCGGAGGCCGGATTTAATTTGGAGATTTAACAACTCAGTATGATTAAATTACCTTGTTGTTTGTTTACACACTTTGCGTCATTTTGCTCGCTCAAGTCACAAACACTTCTGCCATTTTCGAAGGGAAGCAATGCGATTCTGAGCATCATACTTTCCACAGTGAATGAAAAATAGCAATATTTCACGAATATGTTGTTGAAAATCTAAAATGTGTGGTACCAGGTACATTTTTTTCGCGTGAAATATCACCCGTTTTTCGCCACCATTTTACGGGGTCTGTGAGGGTGTTCTTTCAAGGGCTTAAGTAATCCCAAAATCGATGTGCCCAAAAATATTTACTCACTAGAATTGAATGAGTATAGCTGTCCTAATATCGTGTGAACTTTGGTGTTGATTGATTCCATTTTAATCCTTAAACGGGGCTTGGTTTTTGCAGTTAATTTTTGACTGTGCGTCATGCGGAGCCTGAGCTCCGGAAGCCTGAAAACTGCGTTTTCAGATTTTCGCAAATTTATGAAAATTTAATAATCGCTGAAACTTAAAAACACGATTTTTGAAAATAGTTTATCAAAGGGTATCTTTGAGCAAAATATGAGCAATTCACCAAATGGTCGTTGACGGACAATTCTCGATCCTGACAGGCAGCCATTCTTAAGCTATCAGTTCGGTAAATGTAATTTTCTGTCAAATCGCTAGACCCAGACTCTTCCTATCCACTCTTCCTTTGATTTAGTTTTTTTCAAATAAACAATCATTTATTTATTTATATTTAGGTCCTCTCGAGACCAAATTTTTTAGTTGTCAAAACTTTGCGATATGCATCTACGCTCCTATACATAGTAATTTATACATTAACATTTCGAGCAAACAAACGCGATCTCTCGTTCGGAATCGGTAATTTTCGTGCACAACCTGAAGTCTGACGATGTTTTAAACCCAATCAATCGATATCGACTCGGACGAGCGATATTGCGTTGCTAACTTATAAGGTGACTGAATCGATAAGAAAGCGGAAACCTTCCGATGTGTGCTCTTAGGAGTGAAAATATTTCCCGCGTACTTAAAGCAACGCGCTCTTTAATCAGCTGTGTTGTCAAGTGAAGCGCGCGTAAGTTTTGCAAAAGTTCTCACCTCGCCATGTCTCGCTTTACAATGGAGAAACATTACGGTGAATGGATGTTATCTCGTTGGTACGACAACATTCCGGGTCCTGACAGACTAGTGGAAGTGTCTACGTCGCTAAGTGAAGAAGAAGCGTACAATTTTGTCGATGCTTGGTCCAAGAAACTTCTCACGCCCGCTCTCGACCCAGAGCGTCTCAAAAGTATCACGGAGTCTTTGATATCAAGCCATTGGAATCAGGCCTGCAGGATGGGTTGCCTTGCTGTGCAGTTCACCTACATCAATGGCTTTTATCATCGATTTGTATGGAGGGTTTCTTAATCAAACGTTGCTCGCCCAAGCTCACATATTATAGACATCTTGATTCACTGACCGGTGCAGGCAAATCAAACAATTTATCTGATTATTAACTCAACATTGTGATTTTGAGGCTTAACTATTTCAAACGAAGTTAATCTTGTAGAGCATCGGTTTTGTTTGAAAATGTTTAATTTCCGTTTTCTTCAACTGAATCACCCTTGGTGTCAGTTGATGTTCCTGCCGGACGCTGCTGGAGCTCCCATCACAATATGAGCAGTGTGAAAAATTAACAAATGTTCCTTAAATTTTTCATCTGTGAAAAATTGTTTCAATTGGTACAGCTTCTAAAAGTTCCAAGTTTCCGACCAACTTTATTGGACTGAAAGTTGTCGGGAAAGCTCTTTGATTTCCACGCTGGACATTTTCTTTTTTTGACGATTATGCTAAAATTATTATTGTTAGTGACGGCGGAATTTCCCTCAAACAAATCAACATGTGTAACAAAATAAAGACTAATTAAATAGCGTTATTGTGAAAATGGTAAATATTAAAATAATAATAGGGAATGACATGACGCGCACTCTGTTTTGTCGTGCACTTTTTGAGAAGAAGAAGATTAGGGAAAAACTTTAGGATCGTGTAGTGCAATAACATTTTAATAATATGCACTCTGAATTCATAATTTTTGTCCATCAAAATCTTTCCGTCAAATTAGGTGTTTTGTAAACACGGTTTTCTACTGCCATAACGCAATTTTTTTTAACTCCTCAAATATCCGAAAAACCTTTATTTTTTTCAAGCTCGCAAAGTTTTTAACCCTTTAACTCACAGAAGTGATTAACGTGTAACTTTTCCCTAGAATATCCGCACATTACCCATGCAGCAAACAGGTGATAAGAATACCTAAAGTTATCATGTAGAAGTTGTTATCTTCGTCTGATACCAAATTCTCATAACTAACTTACAAGGAAATGTGTAGCAGCTAGAGGAGAGAATTAACAATCAAATCTTCGGAGTTAAGGGGTTTAAGTAAACGTCTTGGTAGAGATTTTTTTCTGTGGCGTATGATAGGGGAGAACATTGCTGGCTGTCGTACCTTCATGAACGACTTTGTCGTCCAAGCCTAGCTGAGCGTCGACCAACTTTCGGTTTGTGTTTTCGGTTCATTATACGATTTCGTCTATTATTTGTTGAGCCCTTTCAATGAACAGACCTATCCACAAAGGGAAACCTTAATTTTTTTTCTATGTAAAAATCTTTTTCGAAACTGGATGGCGGTCCTTCGACGGACATCGGTGAGAAACATGAGTGCAACTGGAAATCTGGCTGGCAATCGAAACGTCAGCTGTAGGAACTCTTTACGAAGGCCAATTTACATTGTCAACTCAGATGATAAAACCAAATTGTCTTGCTCCACCGACGAAGCACCACACTTCTTTAAAAATTTACCCCATTTAATTTATTCAAATAATTTTGATTTCAACAATTTCCAAAACAGTTGGTCACGAATGATAACCAATTTTATCATTCCATCTAAGGAAGCCTTAGAAAAAATGCAAATACAGCAGTAATAAAGGTGGAGAATGTTCTCTTTTAATTACACTTAACTGGTTGTGGGAAGCTTCCCACTTGTTTTCATAATTATTTTTTCAAACACAGCATAGTAACAATATATTTCGCCTGTTTTTGGCTGTCATTCCCTTCGATATAAACTCATAGCAAGAAATGTTCCATGTAGTACATTTAACAATTTCTTGAAGTTTCTCGAAGCACATGCATGCAAATGAACTTTATCAAACAACTTTTTGACCCGAAAGTGTCATTTCTTCCTTACAGGTAATATGTTAATATTTCCCTTGACATGGTCGTTGACAATTTTGCGTTAATTTTGAGAGAAGCTCGATTCACGCACGTTTCAGTGGGTGGCAACAAGAGCAGTACAGCTCGCTCCAATTATGTTGTACAGCTCTTCATATATTCAATCTGAACAAGACGTACTGACTTTTCTTATATATTAACCTTAAATTTTAATTATTGAACTTTCACGACGACAAGTGAATTATCACGAACAAATACTGATGAGACACACATCAAAATGTAACAAGCAATACCTGTCATTCCTGTGACAAGACACTGTCATATGTAAATAACTATTGAAAGGGTTTCTCTATCCAGCATCCGTCATTGCAAGCTTTTTTTAAAATTTCCTTTCCTTTAATAAACTGTCCGGGGCACGTAGCTCTGACTCAGAACTTGTGCACGCACCATTGTTTTGCGTGAATTGTTTTATATGACAACTCGAGATTGCTGATTGTAGAAGTTTTTCATTCCAACCGAAAGCCTTTGCAGTTTTCTGCGCAGTCAAGGTTTGCGAGATAAAATTTCTTTTCATTTAAATGACTGAACAAGATGTCAGTCTTTTATCATATTTGTTCTGAGCATTTTTGTCCAGTTTCCACCATCTTAAAGGTTCAAACAAATTTTGTGTAGTTTTTAAAAAATTTCCCCTAGCCACGATGCTTCTTTGGTTTCAAGAAATTTTTACGTATTCTGTGTTATGGCAAACCAAGTATAGAGGAAATTCTGTGGACCATTAAGGTAGATTTCATTTTGTGAAATATTACACTTTCTTACCTTTTGTTATATACGACAAATGCAGGAACACGAACAAGAAAATGCTGACATTTCTCTTCCTCATTCATATAATGGCCTTTTCGACAGAAGCTCAGGTTACAGGTTAGTGCTTTCATCTGTGATTTAGCTGTGAGGAGCGGGGAAACAAACTTGCAAGAATTATCTCAGAGACTATCAGAGAACAGCGGTCAATCGTAAGGCATGTGCAAGGGGATTAATTTTGTCTTGCCGCGCGCCAATTTTTGCCTGAACTTTTGATGGCAAACGTAAGAAACAACTACAATCACGCTTAACTTGTATAGGAAATCGAGACGTTTATTGTAATATGAGAAACGAATCAAAACCAAAGAAATGGAAAACTCGAGACTTTTAGAACACAAAGCCCATTTATACACTTTGACCGCATAAACCACACAATCCGGAATCACTGCCCGTTGAGATTTCCCAGGGAAGTGTCGTTTAGGAAATAAGCTCGTGTTCCTCACCCCGCTGAGACGACTAGACGTGTGAAACTGGCCGTTTTTTGTTACCACCGATCAGAGGTTTTCCTGCTTGAATCGTGCAGGAAGTATACCTAAGTCATGCAGCATGTAGGGAGAATCAAAGATAGAACTCGAGAAATCGGCCGAAAACGAACCAAATCTGTGTGACATTTTTATCAGGCTTCAGTGTGAGCAAAGGGCAACCACTCCTGCTTAATAGCGGTGAAAACTACACTATATAAGGGAAAAAGCTCGACTGAGTTATGACAACCGACCGGTGACTGCTCAATGCAGTGCCACTTAACCCTTTATCTCCTATGAGTGACCAAGACAGAATTTCTCCTTACAATATCAATACAAAATCAGCCAGATAAGTGATGAGAAGAAAGAAAAATATCAATTTGGGGATGAGTAGCTGATACGATACCAAATTCGCTGAACTAACATTACAGGAACTGTATGGTTGACAGTAAGGAGAATTACAAAATTGATCTGGGAGTTAAAGGGTTCATACAGGTTCGTCTGTTTAAAAGAAGATAAAAATGCAACTGCAATGATTTCAGGGTGACGAAAACCAAAAGAATTTTTGATTCACGCAATAATAAGATTATTATTTTTTGTTTTGCAGAGTGTTCATTCGGTGGAGGTTTTCCAGAGGATGACGTTTTTTGTGAAGGGTACACAGGACAAGGTTCACCATGCACAAATGAAAAAGAATGTTGTAGAAACCCCGTAGAGGGTGTGATGGCGGGATGTTACAATATGTCAGTTATTCAAGGTCCAGATAACTTTAAAATTTCAGAATAAGCTTAGGTTGTTGTTATCTCTAATAGTGGATTTTTAATTACCGACGTCCTCTTTTGGAAAACATTTGAGTTTAGGCGGTGTCCAATTTTGGACTTTTCCCTATCTCCTACCGCGTTGGATTTCGGTCGGTATTTTTCTTTTATTTTATACGGCTTACAGATTTTGATCGCGAGTGATTTGGATGCCCTTCGATTTAAGATTGTATTCGATTTCAGAAGGAGTCGAATCATTACGAAGTCTCAGGAATTTTTGACAGAACACGATATTGGTCTGCGAGCTTAGATTCTCAGACGATTTCCAATTTCAAGGGGCATATGATATTTTATTGGTGTTCAAGGTTGGTCGGCGTCTGGTTTGATACGAAGGCTGATGTTCTACGACGCACGATTTTAGACGATCTTAATTCTGGCTTGCGATTAAGAAAGAGGTGTGGGATGGGAAATAAAAGAACTGCTTCTGTTTTATATTTATTATATCTTCTGCGTAGATTCTTTTGTTATCTCTCTCTTTCTTTATCTTTTATTTCTTTCATTTATCTGATGTGCATAATTGTACATTCATTTCTTTTAAAGAACGCAATCTGTGGAAGCCACCTCGTGTCTGTCCTGCTCAAGACTTTAGCTTCAAAAAAAAGAAGAACTCAACGAACAAAGCCATAGACGGTCACGTGATTGTTAATCATAAGGTCGTATCTCTTCCTCAATGCGGTGACTTCTGCATACGCGAGCCTCGATGCAGTGCGTTTAATCTGGCAACTTTCACAGACCACGAGGGTAAAATGGAGTGTCAGCTGATGGACAATGTTAAGAACATTGTCAACAAGAATGGCTTTGGTTTCTGGCTTTTCGACAGAGAGTCGTATAAAGAGGTAATATAAAAACTGCTTCCTATAAAAAGTGTATTCTATTCGCTCCAATTCTCTCTTATGTTTCGTCAGGTGTGAGCAAGGCTTTTTGAATTTGGGGCTTTTTAGGGCCATTGAATAATAGGGCCTATTAGAGAGGGGGGCGCACAGGATAGATAGGAGGGTTATCAGAGAGGGGTCTTATTGGAAATTGATGCTTTTCGGGGGGCTTATTAGGAAGGAGGGCTCATCAGAGAGACTTTTTAAGATGGGGGGTTTTCTGGACCAATCACAGAGCGAAGTAAAAAAAACAGTCCGTGCAATCCAAGATTTCTTTCGAAACTCAATTGAAAATGACTCTGATAGAAATATTCTTTCTTACAGACATTTCTGTCACCACTTTGCGAATCCTAAAATCAGGGAAAAGTATCATGCGGTAGAAACCAAAAGACTTGAAAGAGGAGAGAAAAATACAGCAGCCACTACATGTCAAAAGAAGTGAAAACCATTTTTAATCTTCACAAAGCTGATGTAAACTTTTCATTGGAAATTTTGAAAAACCCCCCAAAAATATAATAATTGCGGAATTTTTCTCAATGATAGTTTACTCTATTAGTAAGTTATAACGAGTTGTCTTAGAGGGTAATTTTGGTATTATTAACTGAGCTGGTAACATAAATCGGCCACTGTAAAGACGGTTTAAAGCCGAAGTTTCGAGCGTTAGCCCTTCGTCAGACTCTTTACGGTGGCGAATTTACGTTATCAACTCAATTGGTAAAACCAAATTACCCTGTTATACTCTCCCACCGACGCAGCACTACAGTTTCTTTAGAAACTTACCCCCTTTACTGATTTGTTTTAGACCCGATTAACACTCTCTGGCTTATCTCCGTACAAAACCTTTTCGTTCCCGTGACAATCAGACCTAGCTTCACTGCAATCTTTCCTCAAGCAACTCAATCATGGTATTCATAGCATCACTACCGGGCATAAAATTAATAATCAAAAGTAATTTTCACAAGATTTTTGAGTGATGAGTTTAGACATGCTGTTTACGGTAGCAGCAAAACGTCAAAATAAGTGTTTTAGTATAATTGCTCAGATGTTTTCGAATTCTAATGTAAATTCGTTTATTTGTTGTTAAAAACTACTCTGTGATCGAATAAAGATGGCTTTGCGCGTGTTACGATTGTTTTGTTTATTTGTAGTAAAGAAGCCAGTTTCCAAAACAATTCAATCAGGAAATACTTAATTTCTTATTTTTTAAAAGTGGTACACCGATGTTAGCAGCATCTTTTTAGCTCTTTAGAATTGAATTTTCCTTTATCACCCTTACTTCCTGGTAACATCGACGAAGTGCGAGGCAGCCGTTTTGAAATTTAGATCTCTTGTTATAATCTCCTCGACTAATCAGAGCGCGAGAATCTCCATAATCATCAAAACAATTTTACTGAAATCTAATAATCATTCACTTTTCATATGATATTCAGATCAACCCTGTCGAAAACTAGTGAAAAAAGTATTTTTGCTGGTGCAAATATCTTCATTTGAATACACAAATTGCCGAAAGCAGATACCTTACTAACACCCATTATTTGTTAAGCTTTTAAGCGATCGCTTTTTGTTTTGGAACGAAAATTTGCATAATACTTTCACCCTTTTGATTTTATCAGTTTTCATTTTGAAAAGTGCCAAATAATAAGATGAAAGGAAATCAAATTATTCCACGTAGGGGCCTTTTCCTTCTCTTCACGAATGGCTATTTAGGTACTTGTCATATACGGTGTCAAAACGAGATAAAATAATTATGATCAGAAATATGAAATGCTGATAACAGCGCTTACTATAAGAAGGCAGCCTAAAACTCCTGCCGCCATTTAATGTATTTCGCGTGCCCTTGTGCATAATTTGAAATCAAGAGATGTGAAACTTTTTAATCTCTTGTTTTAAATATAGAAACTTGTAAATAAAAGAATGTTTCGGCAATTGTTTCCATAACCTTTTGACTCCCATAAGTGATCAAGACGCAATTTCTCATTACAATATCAATAAAATATCAAGCAGACAAGTGATGAGAATAAACAAAAACGTCAATTAGAGGATTATTATTTGATCCAATTCCAAATTCTCCAAATTAGAGACATACGAATTACTAGGCATACAGTTGGGAGATTTACCGATAAGATCTCTGTATAATGAGTTTGGAGAGGTCCAGTTTCACTTGTAAATTGCTTTGATGTAAGAACTTTTGATGGCGGTATAATAGTTTTTGACGCCTTCCAATTATCATTAAAGGTTATCTCCCACGAGGTCTTCTTCATTTCCTGGTTTTTATGCTCAAGTGTCCCGTGCAAACAAATCATATATAAATCTTTAATAGGCTGAAAGAAATTTTTTTTTGCTGTTTTCCGGTGAAACGAGATAGCAATGCCATTAACGTGGACATTTTCAATACTTCACTGTCTCATCACCTTTTTCGCAATACCCACATGCAAAAGCAGTTCTTTCCTTTTATGCAATTGCGTACAGTCATTGTTGTACTTTACCAGGCCTTCTACTGAAAAAACTATTTTATCGAGACTGGACGCTTTGGACGGTAAGTAAAATAAACCACAAACTTATCAAATATCTTTATTGCTCTGTTTGAAACGATTCTAGACTTCATCTTGGATGACAGATTGAAATATTTTTTTCCCTTTCAACTGTTTCAGATCTACGTTTTACAATTTTGGTCGGAGTTTCTTTGGTTTTTTCACCTCCGCTGACCATGTTATTGATTTGCGCGCTGATCTTTTCAACGATATTTATCGGTTGCAAAATGACCTTAGGTACGTTTATTAATCTCACCCCAATTTTTTGTTTCCGAAACCTTAAAATTATTTTCATCTCACGAACTTCTTTTAATAAAGCATATTTATCATCAAAAAGAATCCGTTCGATCGACGATAAGGATGCTGTCACCGATATTTTGAATCACGACTTTTTACTGCGTGCAAAATTACTCTAAACGTGGGAGAAATTTCGAAATATTGGCTCGACAAGAAAGGGAAATATCAAAACACGAATTATAAACTAAAAACTGAAAACACTGTTTCAGAATGAACATCACTGACAAGGATTTCAAATAACAAATTAAGAATTAGGCTAAATCACTCCTTAATAAACACAGATTATGAAACATGTTTCTTAAAATCTTATTAGTCGTGTGATAGTCTCCATTTTGAGCAGATGTTTTTGACGTAACATATGAAGTGTCAAAACATTGATAATTTGACACAAAAGTGATATCATTTTTGAAATCTGATTTTGTGATTTTATGATCTCCCAAGGCAGGTGACAGTCTCCATAAGTAAAATAGGGACCTTTAACAGGCATGCAGGACAACAACGCCGAGGAGGACGTCGATTAAAAAATTATATTAAAATTTTTAGATAGAGTTTTGCAAATGGCTGGATGTGTCTAACGTCTTTTACGGCACTACTCCTCATGATCAACTTCAGCATAAAGTATGCGAGCAGTGTTGAGGTCCAAATGGAAACTTGATTGATTTGCCGTCGGATTTTTTGTTCCCAGACCATGCAAATTTTGGTGATTTCACGTTGTTATTTTGTAGAGGACAGCTGAGAATTGTACACTGAAACGCAAGTACTCAGCTGTTGTTCTACCCATCAAATCTTTTATTTTGCCACGCTTTCGTTGCCGTCGCGGTAGTGGTTTGCTTTTTAAAGGTCCCTATTCTAATGTTAGGGTTAAAGAAAGGACAAATTAATAGATGATCACGACACAGTTCAGCGGTTCTTGTTTCCCCTCATTATTTATACTACCACCCCACCCCCCCTTAATCAAAAAAAGATCTCTATTTCTCCTTGACTCCTCCCCCCGATCCAATTTTTTTTCTGTCCAATTCCCATTGAGAACTTGTTGGTCACAATTCAAGATTTTCATTCTCGCTGACTTCGAAGATCCAACCAAAAGATCCTTGAAGCTCGGTGTTGGGGCATCCGACCTACAATACGTACGAAGAAGGGGATAGGGAGTAAGGGGAAAGATGCTTTTGGTTCGGAACCTCATGGGGGAGGGGACGGGAAGCAAGTTCAACCTCATAAAGTTTATGCGAAATTTTTCGCTCCAGCTTGGAATCTCAAAGAAAAGGGAAGTTTGGGAGAAAGTCCAGCTGGGGTCAATAGTTTATTCTAAGACTCTTTTTGCAATTGATATTCCCAGATTTTTGCAGTCGTTTGTTGATTGATAGCTAATTCGGGTAACTTATGGTTAACAGGCAAGGAAGCTGCTTTGCGAAGCCAAGGTGAATCTTGTTCTCCTCCCCAACTCTCCGATATCACTTTCGACGCGATCTTAATCGGCCAAGTGAATTTCAGAGAGGACGTGGTCTCAGAGCTACACTGCATGGACCTATGCGTGCGTCGATCTTCGTGTGTTGCATATAACATGGAAACCGCGGGCTCACACGTACGGTGTACGATTTTGTCAGATATTCAGAAGTCAGAAAAAAAGCTGGGATCACTTTACAGAAATTTTGATCGGGAGAAAATTGAGAAGGTCTGTGTGTATTATTTCATTGTAAAGCAATGTTATATTTCTAAGAATATTTCTCAAGGCAAGGGCAAGTACAAAGATGATCACTCCTTAATCAATGAACCCTCTGACACCCCCCTCCCCTCCCCCCTCCACACCCTCCCGAGCTTATTACCCTACGTTTAACTACTGTGGGTACGGGAAGACGTGGGAGGAAGGCCCGTGCTCTTGATAGAGCGGGGAGAAGACTGGACTGGTCAAAGCGTTCACGGCAGTACGGTTTGCATTCGACAAGCTTGAAAAATTTAGACTAATTTTTTTTCAAGCCACACTTACCGCCAAATTGATTTTGCCGTGTCTGAATTTATCTTGTCTATTTCCCCTGTCGCATTGATTTTGCCGCGACGGATGTTAACCACCGTAAATTTTAGGGTTCACTAGGAGGTAGGATTCCCTAAGGGAAGGAAGTGCGGCTTTACAGGTTTTATATTCTCTAAGACCCACAAGCCCGATTGTTTCGTAACGAAACAAGTTCTGTTTCTTCTCCACGAACATTACAGTCAGTTTTCTTTAATTTAATATGAAAAATTGCGTTTATTTTACAGTTCCTCTTCCAACGTGACAACTGTGATAATGAGCCAGATCATCAAATTGATTAATAGCTACGACCGCAGCCACCCACGTCAGAGACCGTTGCGTGACATCTTTACAAACGTCTTCCTGTTACTCAAGTATGGTGGAAGCGAACAATCTTTCGTTCGTTGACGGGGATTTGTTCCTTTGTGAAATGTTCTATGAGTCAGTGACTGATTAAAAAAAAACATTATCGTGACGTATGCAAATTTGGCATAGCCGGGAATTTTTATTTTCAGTTTCGAATCAGTTTTCGAGTAATTGCTATTTTCAGACGTGACAGCTAAGACGAATCCTATATTCATGTAATTACCCAGGGTTTTCTTTCAACTTTTGATTTGGAACAGGGCGCAAAACTTCATCGATACTATTAGGATGAATCTTTATGAATACCAAGTTTGAGAGAGAACTGTTAAAAATTAGGGATCACTTAAGGTTTCTGGTAAACCAAAATCAAAGCTCTCGATATAAAACGACTACGATACCCCATTTTGCCAATATCAAGCCGTGGCAAGTCACGAAATTTTACTGCGGTGACATGACGGGCCAACCAAGTGGTGCATGTCAGAAATAAAACAACTGAAACGGAACAAAGCGTATATTTTCTTGAAAGGCCTATTGCAAACTGATGTACACTTCGTCCCATTGTAAATCAGCAATACATGTCTCCCTAACCGACTTTCACATCTAATTTCGAGTGGCACGCCACAAACAAGATAGTTTTGCACCCTGTCTCCGAAGTTATCGTAAGATTGCGTGTCGCTTAGCTCTTCTTTAATAATCGAGTCTCTCTAAAATCTGTCTCTTCTCAACAAATTGGCAAATTGTTATTCCGTTAATTTTCTATGTTTTATCATACTGGATAGCATGTATATTTTTTGGTCACTCTTCCGGGAAAGATTGGCTTATTTACGTAAACTCTTTGTTCACTCACGAAAACTGTTTGCAATAAACGGTACTGAAAATAAATATGAGCTGTTTCATGTTGTACGTTTGTGGCGGAAAAACCTCGGAAAGTGTTGGGAATTGCCCCGGAGCATCCTTATAAAATCTAAGTCGCTCTTTGCGGGAAAATCAGTCTGTTGAAGTTTTCTTCTCGTTAGGTCGTACGAAGAATGAGCAACATGCCACACTTGTCCACATACATCGTCATGTACGGTAAGTCATAAGTTGGTCTTAGAACTTAAAACTTCATAAAATTTTGGAAAACTTCAGTCATAGACCAGTCAAGTACTTTGAGGCAAAATTTGAAAATCTACGCGGTTAATTGCAGTTTTGTCTTGTACGTGGCAGTAGAGCTCGTGACTTGAAATACATTTTCATTAAAATGTAGTGTAATTCCTAATAAATCTGTAGAATCGAATACATACGCGCATGTGCTTCGATGGCATGCTCTGCTTGCAAAAAATTATTTCTTGCAAGAAATTGAATTACAGCTGCTTAAGATCAAAATCCAACCCTAATGGACTAATTTAACTCATTAGCTGTTAGTTAACGAGCTCCTGAGAGTGCTAAAAGTACATAGAAAGAACTAAGGTACTCGATTTTAGACGAGTGTCCTTGATTTAAGTTCAATCCTTCGATCTATAACTTCCGTGGCTTAGTTGCTCACTTTTTACGGCTCTGCCGCTTGTCGCTTCGAAGCAGTCACGAAACCGCCAGTAACGCAGCCAATAGGGCTGTTAATGCACCTTATAAGCAGTACATTTCCGCTTTGAAAAGTCGTGACTTATGAAAGAGGAGGATTTTGAGCACATCTTAAATAATTCGCGGCATTGATAAGATACAAAGGCACCAGTATAGATTGCATCACGGCTTACCTAAAACTTACTCTGCGCAACTGCCACCATTCGCGACCATTCTTATATTTCCATAATACGACGCAAACCATGTGTTCACAAGAGCACTTCTCGATTTAATCAAGCCCTTCTCGTATAAATGGTGCGGTCAGCGTCTAAGACTACGGTGGATTATTTTCCTCGTTTAAACGGCCTTGATATCGGCTCGAGTGTAGTACACTCTTCAAACTGCATCGTTAAGATGAAACCGAAACAACCAGAGGGGCAAAATAGCAATAGAAAAGCAATGGAAAGTTAGAAAAAAAAACTTGACAACTATTATCTCGTTTCAAGGCTGTTCCACTCTATTTTTGAGTGTTTCAGGGCCTTTCAGAGCTGAAACGAAACCGAGTCAATAGTTATCACCCCAAGGGTTAACTTTACTATAAGTAGACTATGACTCACACATGCATCGTACGACTTCAGCTGTTAATCCGTTAGTATCAGAAATACCAATCGAAAAACTTTATTTTTATTGTTTTCTTCGACAATGAGCGAGCTTAGTGAAAATACACGCAAACTTTTGGCGCACTGGCGCGTGCGATCCGGGCGCAAGGAGCTTTAAAAGTGACAACGGAAAAGACTTCCTGCATTGAGCCGGAAGGGCGTGTCGGAGAGCAAGATAAACAAATCGAATTTCAAGCAATTTAGAGATATACTAAATCAAAGACAATGTCATTTGAAATCCATGAAAGTGCAATCTAAATAAAGGCGTGTTTTACTATCTGTAAAAGAGAGATTGTTTGCACTAAAGAAAATTTAATTTACATGATGCTAAAAAAGAACACAAGTAACCTTGTGTATGTATGATGCACGTCACTGTGGGAAAAAATTATCCATAGAAAGCATTATGGTAATTTTACTTCCAAAAATAAGACGTTAACGATGAAAAGACAAAATATTCTCCCCAACAATTACAGCTTTAATTGACTCTTCCTAAAGCGGTCCAACTGCTTTTGTTAACGTTCCTGTGTCGATCAAATTTTGACGTCATTCATTGACGTCAGATATCACCTTTCGGTCCTGCTCTTTTGTTCTCACAGAGTATTCTGCGTTTGATGGAATATGCTACGCTGTTATCAATAATATGACAACTTTGTTAGGCGTAAAATTGATTTAGAGAGTTAAAAAACCAGCCTTTCCTACAAGCGTTTCTCATTGCGCAACTTTCTAGCAGCAAAACAACACACTTACTTCTCTAACATAGCGAAATGTTGGATTATCATGGATTTCTGGGAGTGTTCGGGATGGTCTTTTATTACGGCCACGGCTTAAAATAACCTTGACAAACTGATGATTTTTTTTAGATTCGGGGGTTTCCCAAATTACTTTTATAAAAGAGGAGACAACTGTAGTTCGTACACTTAAGCCTGCATTTCGATAAGTTCTCGGATCGAAAGTTCAACATGACAAGCCAACGAAAAAAGATTTTTTTATTAGGTGAGTGAAATTGTTTAGTTTACTTTTTCAAGGGCGTTAATGTTCATCAAAACATCTTGTAATTACTTGCCAATATTCTCAAATAACCTTTAATTTGTTGCGTTGTTAACCAGCAAACTTAGTCATGTGATATGCGGGTCGTTCAATGTGTCCATAGCTGCTCGTTTTACGGAACAAAACATATAGGAGCATCGACATTTCTTAAGAATTAACTCACCTGTGCGTATTGCAGTTAATTTTCAAGGTTGTTTTAATAATTAAGTTTTACTTTAATCTTGTAAATATTGCAATAATGTCACTTAAGATTAGTGTACACGTTATATCGTGATTAGAAAATTAAGTTAGAAGTTTTAAGGCGAGTAAAAGGTTGAATACTACAAAACTCAGGTTTTCATTTGAGCACGCTTGTTTGTTTTGTTTTGGCATTTAGCAGAGAAAAATATTGGTCTTCTCTAAAACGATATGTAAAACCACGTCTGTCGTGAGTGGCATATTTGAAGTCAATAATACCTATTTAGCCGATTTTCATTTTCTTAGGACTCTCCAATTGCTCTTAGCACGGTAAAGTTTATGAGACAGAGCTATGATCATAGGAATCTTCCTTCCACCTATACCAAAACTTCTATTTGAATTTCTGAAAAAGAGAAAGGGTATATGACTAAATAGATCTTCCCATTTTAGAGGACCCAGGCATAAAATGTAAGCGTTTGCGCGATGTCGGTTTAACTTACCCCAGAACATCATGTCCCTTTGAAGCAGACCTTGTTCAGTTACAGTTGAGCAAAAATTTTCCGCTCTTGAAAGGAAGAAGAGCGAAACATTTTATGCTGAGTTACAACAATTCAATTTTGTCCTCTTTTTTTTTTTTTTTTTTTTACCAAGAATTGATTTTACGCTTTCATCTAAGAAACAAAGGTACTTTGTAATCAACATGTTTACGGCCGGCTATAATGGAAGCAATATCAGTGATTCAAAATGTCGGTCGGTCAAAGCCACGACTTTGTATGTTCTTCTAGAAATTCTGGTTTGAAAACAGGAAATTGAACTCATATTTTGGATGTAATCGAATGAGATCTGTGCAAAAAAAAAGGCGATGAGATAAAGGAAAAACCTGTAGTAGATTCCTGATCATGTGAGAGACGCAGCATTGACAAACCGAAACCGGAACTTTGAGAGAGGAAAATGATAATATATTCAAACTTTACGTCAAACAAATACGCCACAAAATTCCATGTCTCGCGCGCTACTGTCACGTATTTTCATCCTATCTCACGTATCTTTGCAAAACTTAGATCTTTATAAGGTTTTTACATCGGAATAAAATACTGTGATTCTCTATTTGATTTCCACGTAAGCATTTTTCACCTTGAGCTAGCGTGACACTGGGTTAGCGTGACTGCTACAACTGACGTGTAACAAATGCCTTTATGCCATACTTGATTAATGCAAAAACCTAGTGTTCTTTATTTGAATTTAAGAAACAGTCTTTAGCAACTTTTTGTGAAAGAATTTTCGAGAAATATTGAAACTGTTGCGAAACCTTTCATTTTCCAGAGATCAAAAACGATTTTTTTTTTACGACTTACATTTGAGATGTGCGTGGGAGACGAAAGTTACTTTTGCGTAAGTTTCGAAACGTAAATTCCATCCAAGCGGGGAAATTCACCGTACAATGATAGATGAGCTGAAAAGCGATTTTGATACGCTGATAAAGTCAATTTTACAGTTAATGACGTTACCTTTTAGAACTTGAATCGATAAAATATTCCGTTGCATACGATTATCAAAATGACTTCTCTTGGATTTGAATTGACATTGACACGGGCGCGAGCGATCCGGGCGCAAGGGGCTTCAAAAGTGAAAAATAGAAAAAACGGAAAAAGACTTCCTGCGGAAGGGCGTGTCGGAGAGTAAGATAAACAAGTCGAATTTCAAGCAATTTAGAGATATACTTAACCAAAGACAATGGCATTTGAAATTTATGGAAGAGCAACATGAATTAAAGACATAATTTGTCCTCTGGAGAAGAGAGATTGTTTGCGCTTAGAGAAATCTAGATCAAAACAAACTTCTTTTCTTTTCTGTCACGAACTGAATGTAGCTCTGTTTCTCTGTCTACTTGAAATAAAGACCTGAATTGAAGTGGCGTATATGAGGATATTTAATTTAGTCCACAACGAGAAACAATGGACTGATCTTGTAGAAAAACAGCTCAATTGCCGACCATTTATTTCAAACCAACATTTGAGAGCCCGGAGGTTATAAATTTTCGGTTCCTCTACAGTTTTTGACCCTGTCACGGCACGTCTTAAAAAAAGTTTCTAAATTTAACTGAATGCAGAGCTACGTTAGGAGCTCAGATATATAGTTTTCTGTTTAAACGAGGTCAGATTTACCGAATTGTATCAATTTGTTGTCACTGAGGGAAACTGGACATGATGCTAAAAAAAGAACGCAAGTAATCCTGCCTTTGAATGATGCACGGAAAGAATTATCCTCGAACATGCAAAGAAAGCACTATGGTAATTTTACTTCCAAAAATAAGACTTAACGATGTAAAGAAAATGCACTCTTCCTAATAATTCCAGCTTTAATTGGCTCTTCCTAGAGCGGTCATACTGCTTTTGTCAATGTTCTCCTGTGCACTTAAGCTTTGCCACACTTTCACTTTACTGACGTCAATTCACATTCGGTACTGTTCTATTGTTCTCGCTGAATATTCTAGGTTTGAAGGATTATGCAACGCTGTTACCAAGTATATGACAACTTTGTTAGCCTTAAAATTGATTTAGATTGTTTTGAAAAAACCTGCCTTTCGTACAAGCGTTTCTCATTGCGCAACTTTTCAGCAACAAAGCCACACACTTGCTTCGCTAAAATAGTGAAATGATGGATGATCATGGATTTCTGGGAGCTAGTGTTCGTGATGGTCTCTTACTGACCCTGTCCTTAAATAACTCTGACAAATTAACGACATTTCCTGTTAAGGGGGTTTCCCACGTTCGTCAATAAGACTTGAATCAAAGAGACGAACTGTAGCTCAAACATTTTAGCCCGCACTTCGATACGTTCAAATCCAAAGTTTTCGGATTGAAAGGTCAGCATGACAAGCCGACAAAAACAGCTTATTTTATTTGGTGAGTGAAATAGTTTAGTTTACTTTTTCAAGTGCGTTAATGTTCATCAAAATATCTTGTAATTACTTGCCAATATTTTCACATAATCTTCAATTTGTTGCGTTGTCGACTAGCAAACCTTGACAGGTGATATGTGGGTCGTTCATGTGTCAATGACTGCTCGTTTTACGGATCAAAACATATGTACATGAAAGCTAAACCTAATTTTGAAATACATCTTCTTGAGCTGAATAAATGTTAGTTTTAATTCATGGGCTAGTATTTTTATAGAAGCATTGACATTTCTTAAGAATTAACTCACCTGTGCGCATTGCAGTTAATTTTTTAAGGTTGCTTTAATAATTAAGTTTTTCAATTATCACTTCAATCTTGTAAATATTCCAATAGCGTCACTTAAGATTAGTGTAAACGTTATATCGTGATCTGAAAATTTTGTTAATTGAGGCGAGGAAAAGGTTAAATACTACAAAACTCAGGTTTTTATTTAAGCACACTTGTTTGTTTTGTTAAAGTATTTAGAAGAGGTAAATATAGGTATTCTTCAAAACAATATGTAAAACCACAACTGTCATGAGCGGTATATCTGAGGTCAATTTTCACCTTCTTAGCACTCTTTAATCGCTCTCAGCACGGTTATCAGTTACTTTGAGATAGCAATGATCCTATGAATCTTCATTCCGTTTACACCAACACTTATATTTGAATTTCTGAAAAAGAAAAAGCGTCGACGACCAAATAAATCTTGCCAATAGAGGATCCAGTCGTAAATTAACGCGTTTGTGCAACGTCAGCAAAACTTACCAAAGAACATCGACTCTTCGAAGCAGACCTTTTTCAGTGGCAGTCAGGCAAAATTTTCCGCTCTTGAAAGGAAGAAGAACGAAATATTCTACATCGAGTAACAATAATTCGATTTTGTCCCTTTTTTGGCCAAGAATTGATTTTACGCCTTACGCTACAAACAAAGGTGCTTTGTAAGCAATTTCATGGCTGGTTAGTGATTTAAAAATAGATATCTTTATCGGTCAAAGCCACGACTTTATTTGTTCTCCTAGAAATTCTAGGTTAAAAATAGGAAATTGAGCTCTTATTCTGGATGTGATTGAATAAGATCTGTGCTAAAAAGGTGATGAAACGAAGGCAAAGTCCGTAGTAGATTCCTAATCATGAATAAAGATGTAGCATCGAAAACAAACCGAAACCGAAACTTTGCAATTGAAAGAAGAAAATGATGATATAACCAAACTTTATATGGAACAAATGCGTCATAAACTCCCTGTTTCGCTAATGTCACGTATTTCATTATACCTCACGTATGTCAGCAAAACTTAGATCTTTATAAGCTTTTAACATCAGAAGAAAACACTGTTAATCTCAAATTCACTTCACGCAGCGTTTTGACTTTGAGCTAGCGTGACACTGAGTGAGCGTGACTTCTAAAACTGGCTCAACAAATGTCATACGTGACTGAAGTAATACCTTAGAATTCTTTAGTTGAATTTTAGAAACAGTTTGTAGCAACTCTTTGTGAAAGGATTTTCGAGAAATATTAAAACTGTTGCGAAACCTTTCATTTCGAGAGGTTTAAAACTATTTTTTTTCGAGCTATATTTGACGGGAAAGATATACGTCAGGAGAGGACGACAGTTTCTGTTGCGCATTTTTCGAGACGTAGATTCCATCCAAGCGGGGAAATCACCGTACAATTATAGATGCACTGAAAAGCAATTTTGATACGCTGAGAAAGTCAATTTTACAGTTGATGACGTTACTCATTCATATTTTTAGAATTTGCAATTTACAATTATCATCATAACTTCTCTTGGGTGTGCAGAGACATGTCAATTCTTTGGGGACGTACGTTTTAAATAGACTACTACGTGATTGGCCGGGAGTTTCCTATTAAATCGAAATCTCGCTTCGTATTAAGTAGATATCACTCAAGTTCTTTAAGTCCGGTTTTATTTTCAAGTTCTCTTGAGTTCATCTCCAATAAGTGCTCACGACACTGCCGCAATGGATCACGGACTGAAACGGTTTGTTTTTTTAGGTGAGTGGAGACACCTTCATTGATCATTATCAAATCACTTGCTGGCTTGATGCATCGATAATCGTTTGAGGACAAATTGAAAATTGGATAGGAATCATATAATAAGAATTATTGACATTTACGCGTGATAATCTATCAAGAGTGGCAGTAACTTATTTATTGCATCAGTGTTGCATATTCTCAACAGTCCTGTTCGTGTCCAAAAAGAAGCACTCCTTTGTGGAGTCGCTGAAACAAGTAATTGAATTACTGACAAACAAAACTTAAGTACATAAATTAATTTTCACTTTTCAACTCAGCTTTCGCCTTTGTAATATGTTCTTATGGTTTTAAAGGTAAAAACTCTTAATAATGTTTAGAAGTCTTTGTCAAGGCAGTTGACGATTGCGGTTAAGCGAAACACGCCGCTGTTAATCAAAAAGCGTAATTGCAGCGTAAGCATCTCATGGCAGTGCAAGAGCATTCTGGTACTCTGTAAAACAGTACCACGAAGAGAGGAAATCTTTCCGGCTTCAAAAGAGATCTTTGTTCCCCCCTAAGCCGTCATGATACGGTAGCATTTAGGCAGAAGACAGCTGGGGAAATGATGCAATTACTTTAATTAGATATGCAGAATAGTTTCATCATTTTGGTAATTAAAAGCTTGTACTCCGTCGGCCGAATTAATTACATATTTTTTAGGTTCATAACCTAAGAATCACTCAAAGTGGAAAATTTTGCCCAAATGAAGGTAAATTTTGTTGGGACAGAATCAAAATCCTCCCACCCTCCCCCGACCCTTTCCTCAAAACTATAAATGGTTACCAGTCCCCAGTCTCGGAAAAATGCCTTAATCTCAATGCCTTTTTGCCGATAATTTATCTTCAGTGCCGATTCTTCTGGCTCTCTCCGTGAAGAACGCCAACACATGTACGTCCAATGATTTTGAAAGAGCTTCCAAGGCGTGCGTAACTACGTTCGCAAGAAACCTTCGGGAGGCAAAGGATAAGACTTGCAGGTAAAAGCAAGAAACTACTTAAAATATACATCCTTAGTGAGGGAGGGGTGGGGAAAGAGGGGAAGGCGGGGTAGGCAGTATTCAGTTTGCGAAAGAAAGGAGCACAATTTTTTGGCTCGAGGTATACGATAGGGTTTAAAGTGAATTGAAAAATAGGAGAGAGTACGAGAAATTAGCAATTACCTACAAAATATGAATTTTTTGTCGAGCCTTCCAAAGTAATCCATGGTTCCATTCTCGGTTTTAATTTGCTCTGCCAAGTGATTGGTTGAAAGAAACTAGCGCCAGCCTATCAAACAATCGGATTCACGACTGTAACCAATCATGCAAGACTCTGTTAGTCGTAGTTTCCTGCACTTCAGACAATTTTTTTGTCATTCATTTTGAGTTCTCATAAATTCCTCTTGCTAATTTCCTTCCCTCCCATTGCCTTCTGTTATGACGTTCTTTTTTTTTTTTTTTTTTAAAATTTTATTTGTTTTTGGGTTTTTACAGTTTTTACAAGTAAAAGATACATCACAAATTTCCATTGCATACACTGGACTACGAGAATAAAAGAAAAGAAAAGAAAGAAAAAAAAAAAAAAAAAAAAAGGCATCGTCTAAATAATAAATTAATTCAGCTATTGTTCTATCCCATTTGTTGTAATGGATCTCAAGTTTATTATTCTTTCTGGCTATAAAACGTTCTATTTGAAACATACTCTTAATTCTTTCGAAAAAGGATTTAAAGGATAGAGAAGTCTTATTTAGCTTGGTGCGATAAATAAAATATTTACCTTCTAGTACAATATAATTAAGAAGGATTCCGTCATTGTCATGATTAGGCTCGTTTTGGTTTGACGACACTCACGCGAAATGTGCCTTTGAAGAGGGTGGGGCGGTTTTGTTTCCTAGATCGCCACTTGAAAATCAAGAATCACTGATTTGAAACCATTTTTTCTTCACCAAATTTTTTTCAGGAATCATTACGCTGAAATGCAAACCTGCATAGGGCGAGCATTACACAGATGCAAAAATTCTTCGGATTCAACTACTCTTGGTAAAATAAATCAAATCAAACGAGTGGCTGCCGCTTCGGAGGAGTATTACTGCTCCTATGGTGGGGTGAATCCGGATCCCTTCAATGGAAAAGTCATGCAAGGTTGCCGGAAGAAGGCTCATAAGAAAATGAGGAAATGTCCATCTTCGTTCCATAAACGATTCAGCGATGACAATGGAAGCACTGCGTTATGCAGGTTAGATCCACCGCTTACCTAAGCCTTATTCCACCGCCACGGCGGTGGTCCACAAGCGCTCTTGTCACTGCGCTATCCTTCCAACGTTTACGCAGAGATCTGCCTTGGGAGGGAATGAAGCGATCTTAATTTAGACATGTCAAGATTTCTTTTTTCCTTTCTCTCTTGAAGGTTATTGTTATAACTGGCGTTTTTATTTTATTTTATTCTGTTAGAAAGTACAGTAACCTTAAGAAGTGCGTTATTAAGGTTGCTGAGAGGTTCTGCCAAAAGACCCCAGAGGTAAAGAACCTGATCAAGATATATCAAGACCCCTTCAATCCGTATTGCCCCGGTGGCGGAGATGCTAAGAAACCAAGTAAGTGCGAGCACAACGGGTACCTCGTTGACGTAACGGACCAATAATTATTTGTCACCTGTGGAGAGGAGGATTGTGGGGGGCCGAATAGTTTTCAGGGGGGGAGGAGGGGGTATCATTCGTCGCGAACTGAGTATAAAGGCAATCAAATAATACGGAATGACCTTTATTTTCCTTTTCGTTTCAGAACCAAGAAGTGCCATTTCAAGCCCTTTTGGCTTGTGTACCAAACGAGAGTACTTGACCAGGAGCAGGGTCTGTCTGGCAGATTTTGTACAGACCTTGCAAAAAAATCCCAAGAAACCCTGTAGGTCAGTATGAAATGTTTGTCTTATTTAGTCCATGCCAATGTCGTTAGGGGTGGGTGGGAGGGGATCTCCAGTCATCTCAATACAGTGCATCACATGGCTACTCCTTACCCACTACACTTTGCGGTCCTTTGTCATTCGTGTTGGCTACCTGCGTAACAAACAAGATCTTGGGGTGTTTTTTCCAGAATTTTGTTATGACTAAAAAACTGAGCCTGCAGTTTTTAATAAAAGTTTTATTTACTAACATCGATCCTTCTAAACTTGTTGTATTTCATGGCCGAAAGAAATGTGGAGCTTCAAATAATTTGTTATTGTTGTGCAAATTTCTTTAGACATTTCTGTTACTGAGTATTGTCAGTTTTGTTTTTTGTAGATCAGTCTTTATGGAAAAGCTTCACAACTGTGCGAAAAAGGTCGCTCTCCATTGCCATAGGAACGATACCAGTTATAATAAAAAGAGAATAGAGACGGGGTTCAAGAGGAGTCGATCCTTTCAACAACGTAGATACTGTGAGGGGACTCAGGTCCAGTTCCCTTACCCAGCAGTAAAGCACGACCAGTGCGTAGGGAGCTACCTTGAACAAAAAAATAAATGTGCTCAAAGATTTGTGGCTACCTACGTGAAGAACAAAGCAGACAAGTCTTTGTGTAGGTAAGTTGGGCAATCTCCAAGAGATTTCTCCGCGCTACTTTTTGAGAAATTCCATCCCTGCTTTGGTTTTTTTAGTCTGTACAAAGCTGTTTGATTGGTCAAAGAAAACTCACACCTCTAAACCAAGCAGACACAGTCTGCGTCTGTACAATTTGACATCTCATTGGCTCCTCCTAAATTCAAGTAAATTTTTTCTTTTTTTACTTTCTTTTAGCAAATACGCTGAGGCCAAACTCTGTGCGAAGAACGAGACGCTGAAGAGCTGTAAGGTCACACCGCAGCTACAAGATGACGTTGATTTCATCTATGATGAATTCAATCCATTTTGTTCTAAGCGTAAGGACCCTCAAGAAAGGATACTGCGTAAAAAACCAAGTAGACAACCACGTAGATCTCCGGTACAGGACGTCGAAGAAAAAATTCGTCCCTCCAGGGGAAAGAAAATCTCTTCAAAGGTCTCAATTCTTGTGGCAATACTATGCTCAGTTTTAAGTATTGTCTCCTAATTTTTTCACTTTATTCTTTAGAGAATTAGAACCAATACTAATATATCATGATAGTAACCCACTGCGAGAGAAAGTATAAAGTTGTTATAGAAATAGAATTAACTTTATCAAATTTTTACCTAAGTTAAAAACCACATGGATAATATAAATCGAGATTCAAATTTTGTATGTGATGTGAAGTACTCTAACTATAACTTAGTAGATTATATCTATTTTTATACTTATTACCCGTAAAGCCTTGAACGTTAATTAGTACTTCAAGTTATTAATCTTGCAAAATATAAACTGAAAACACAAAAGAGCTTTTACAACACCTCCGTGGTTCATGACTAAAATCGAGGCAGATAATGTTTTTCATGATCGCAGCTTCATTCGCTTTCGTCGCGTTTTCTCGCATCAGACTTCCTACTCACTAACTATTTAACCTTGAAACTATTTAAGTGTAGATATAATCAGTTGTCAAATATGTAGAATAGTTGTAGCATCACTCACAGTTTCTGGTAAAACCAGAGACCACTTACTCAATAAAAATGGTGTCAATAGTGGGTATTAGATTGTGTAATTCGTGCAACTGTTAGAAACAGTTACGAGTTATAAAGAGTTGCTGCCCAAAAGAAAATATTTTTTGCACATGAACTTTATAGTGCGAGAATCATCGCAAATTGACTTAATAAAATTTGGTTTTTTCACCGAATACTTCTGTTTCTGTTATTTAAAGAATTCGTCCTGCAAGTTAAACCGACGTTGATGGAGGGAGGGAGGGAGGGGTGAAAATTTTTTCTTGACTATGGCATGCGGAGTGAGGGGGTGGGGGGTGGTCAAATGATCGTTAAACAAAAAACGTGTGTAAGCGTAAAGAAATCTTTTTCGCGCTTAGGTTTTTTCCTGCATGAAAGAGGAAGTGTTTCTGTTGGAACAATGAAGCCACGGTTGGACCTCGTGTAGGTTCACCACGGATTGCACAGGGGCGCCATTCCCTAGGGGCATTTTCAGACGTCATATGTGTGCTCCTTTCCGGGAAAGACATCATATGGGAGCGGCTACTCAGCTATCTGATTTCAATTATCTGTGAGGTTGGCACAATTTGTTGGAGAGGTCGTTGTTTCTCGCGGTAAATTTTTGTTAATCCAGAGCCAAAACTGCCATCAGCTGCCACTGTGGTTTGGAAGGAAGGTTGTCTCTAACTAATGAATCGTTCTTTTTCGTCTGGTGCAACGCTTTCTTCGAAAGTCGATAGATTATTGCACTCAACTGAAATGACGGAAATGGCTTCGGCCCCGAAACACTGCCGCTTAAACGATGACTTCGGACTCCTTGTTCAAGGAATTCTCGCCGCTGTGGCATTCAGCACTCTTATTTGTGAGTAAAATTAGTTATTAAACATATTATTCAAAATCATAGCGGCTTTTTCATAGCGAATTTATCCCTTGGCGACTAGAATTTTGTCAATCGTGTTTAGATTTCAATGTCAGTTTGACAGGAACATATAACATTTTCCTCGCATCATTGAGTGAAATTTTATGATTTTCACCAATTTCCCCCAATTTCATTTTCACAGTAATGGTTTATTTATTCGCCAAAATATAATTTCGGTGTATTAAACACACTCTAAATAAGATAATTGGTAGTTATGCGAACTTTTAGGGAATCTTATGAATTTTGTAGTTAGCTTCGCTGTCATGTATAAATACCAAAAATAGCATTTCATCTAATGCACTAACAAAACACTAAACACCTGTTCCTCGGGAGGCAATAGGATTTTTGTTTGTTCTTTGGAATTTTTCTTTTTTTTCAAGGAATTTTGGGGGAATTAGAGATGATTCTTCCCTTTTGTTATTATAAGCGAATTTCATGCAATTACGTACATGACTACATGCACATTAACAGTTTTGCGTGTAGATGATGGAAGCATGCATGTATTTCATAAATTAAGTCGATGTAAGCTGAATATCCCCGATCTGCACATGATTGAGCAGCTGAGACAGTCAAGAGCATTTCATCCGTCGTAAATATTTTTATGCTTAGTTTTCAAATAAGAAAAATATATTTACCTTATAATTTTCTTCACCTTAGGTGTTAGTACATGTAGGAAAGTTATGATTTTCATTTTTAATTTTGAGAACAAAATTCACAGGAGAAGTGAGAACATAAATTTCTAATACTTCTAGTGATAAATGATTAAAATAAAGAGCCCAATTTTATTTACTTTAAAAACAAAAAAAAAATGTCAGTTTGATTAAATATAAATGCAAACGTGTTTTCAAAACTGATATATTTGTTGAATGTATGAAGACAAGAAGGATTGATTACTTTTTATTCAAATGGTTTACAGCATTATTTTCTTTTAAAAGGAAGGGATCTTGGATGACAATTTCTTTTCACAATTAAGTAGATATGCATGTATATTTAGACCTCCCAATGCACAGAGTTGAGCATTACAACGTTTTTGTGATCTGTCTCAACATTAAGAAGCAAGGATTGTCTAAATTGTCATATTCATATTTTGTCAAGTTTGAAGTTTGTTGTGTAGCTATTTTTCCTGTTTTACAATTCAAGATGTTGTACAGTTTTGTACCATGCTCATCTATTTTTTCTATGAGAGTTCACTGTTTTTTAGCTTAATTCTGATGTATCAGATGAGAAGAAAGGTTGTTTTTACCATAAACATTACATTTATTTTTACTTGGTATCTACTTAGAAGACAAGTGTTGATATCAATATCCACTATTGTTTGTTTTGTGGTCCTATATAATTAAGAACACATCTATGACATCATTGCATGTAAAGTCAGGCAGTGATATTTCTGCTTAGATTAAGCTGTGTCATTCTCATTTGCTCTCTTAACCAGAAGTGATTCACATGTAACTTCTCCCTACAATATCCATCCACTATTCAGCAAATAGGTAATGAGAGTATCCAAATGTATCAAGTAAAATTTGTTATCTTGATCCAACACCAAATTCTTGCAACTAATTTACAAGGAAACATGTTGCAGCTAGAGGAGAGAATTGAAAATCAGATCTAGAGAGTTAGAGGGCTAATATGACTTATTATTTTAGAGGTAGAAGTTAGATATTTAACCTTTAAACTTCCAAGATCTATTGGTTGATTCTCCCCTCTAATTGCTTCACATTTCTTAGTAAATGAGTTACAAGACTTTGGCTGAAGATCAACATAACAACTTCTACCTGATAAGTTTGAGTATTCCCATTATCTGTTTGCTGGAGAGCGTTTGAAGTTGTATGTTCTGGGAGTTTATTGTCAGTTCTATCCTAATATGAAATTCACTTTGTTAGTTTAGTATCCTAACTTTTTGTGGCATAATTTCAAGAGGTTTCATCTTCTGGCAATAAAGTAGAGGCAGTTTATAATAAGACTGAGTATGCAGAAAAGAAGTTATATATTTTTCTTTGACCTAGTCACGTACAAGAGATTATTGACCTAATAACCCTTCCATTTCCCAGAATTACACATCATTTTTTTAAACTTTTTGTTATAGTATAGAAGTGACCACCATTACTGTAAAAAGAACATTTTTGAGTCTTTTTAATAAAACTGAACAGTTTGAATGTGATGTGATGGTTTGCTTGGGTTAACATCTGAAAAAAGTGATCAATGATATGTTATTCTTTATTTATAGTGAAAAGATTGAGAGAACCTCTATCTGAAAGAAGACCTGTTCTTATTTGGTAAGTGATGTAATCAAGTCACTGGCAAATTTTGAAAAGCTTGAGATGTAAGCATGATGGTTTTTCATCCAAGCAAAAGCAACTGTCTTAATGCCTGTATTTTGGCCTGTCATTGCAGGTTTTTTGATACCTCAAAGCAAGCAGTTGGTGCCATGCTTGTACACTTTGCCAACATCTTCTTAGCTAATCTTTTCAAAGGTGATCCATGCACTTGGTGAGTGAAACATATGTCTTTTCCCCTTGTACAAGCTGTCACTGTAATAAACAGGTACCAGATTCAGGCTTGTCATTACAACTCCCAAGAGACTCTAGGACTTGCATGTTGTGGCAATTTTACACAGCTGGACTTATTGAGATTGAGTACAATGCATCTATATTTATAAAATATCAAGGTTACCATGAAATTGCCCTAATTCCTAACTCTAGATTATTAAGGTTATATTTCTTATACTGTGTCTAGCAATGCAAGTTTGGAGTCTTAACCCTTTATCTCTCAAGATCTCATTGGTAGTTCCCCGCCCTGTCTACCATATAATTCTTGTGATGTTAGTTTGGAGAGTTTGGTATTGGATCAACTAATAATCCCCTAGTTAAGATTTTTCTTTATTCTCATCACTTGTCTACTTGATATTGTATTGATATTGTAAGGAGAAATTCTGTCTTGGTCACTTATGGGAGTTAAAGGGTTAAAAGACTATTGAAAAAAACAGTTTCTCTTCCTGTTGAATCTCTCTATCCCAGCTAGACCTTGAACTCCCAGAATCAAAAGTTGAGGGTCATGTTCTTGTTAGCATGGGATATGTTAGAATAATATCATGCACTAATGCATCTTTTTCTTTGAAGGTACCTGATAAATTTCTTGTTGGATTCTACTCTTGGCCTTGTGGTCATTTACCTCTGTCTTCAGTTCATGCAAGTTATTGTAAGAATGTATGACTGGGATAACTTGAGATTTGGCGAGTATGGTAAGATTGATGTGAAATATGACATGACTTAAATGAAAATAAGCAATAGAATAATGGTAAACTTTGAGCCAAATTATGGAATGAAGAAAGTTTCTATTTGTACATCCACAAGTATGGACTAAAGAGAAAATCTCAGCCCCCCCATGAGAATGAATGGCAGACTTTTGACAATCTGATTCTCTGCTGCTGAGGTACAGAGAACAAATCAGCAAACTAGGTTATACACGTAAACTATTAAATGCAGTTAAATACAATTTAATAGAGTTAACAACAAAGAGCATTAGCATTCTCTAGTAGTCAGTTGTTTCTACATATGTGCATGTGTTAGAATTCCATGTGCTCTTTATCTGAGCTTTTATTGCATGTGCTTTTAGCATGAACTTTCAGCATTGTTTGGAGTGGCAGCTCATTGTTCGGGCAGTTTTCCCCATCCCTTCCCTCCCTCTTTCCATTGTTTATTCAGTGTGATGGGTGCCTCTTTCACTTTCCTGGCTGGGGGCTCATGGCTGGATTGCCAGGATTTGCCAGCCATGGGAGAAGTCTCCATCCAGGAGCTGGCTGTCAGTAGTGATAGCTCCAAGATGTCTCAGGCACCCAACCTCCACTTGGTGATGCAGTTGGTTGCAACATGCACCTCAAAGCTTCTCAAATTGATGATCTCAGCAGTATGTAGTAGGCTTGCCAAATATGAACTTGATAAATATTCAAACTTACAATAAGTTTTCTATAAGTCAGTGTAACAGCAGTGCACTGCAAAACGTGAAGATCTGGGCTTTGATGCCTTTTTGGGGACTGAAGTTTTCTCTTTGTCCTATGCTTGCAACTGATTGATGAATGACTTTCTTTATTCATTGTTAATATCCAGTTTTAGAATAAATATTTCAGTGATCTAGCACTAGATCTATCTGCTCTTGATTGCTATGAACATTCCACCCTTATCAACTATAATGCAATAGAAATCTTGTAGAAAAAGCTCATAATCTTATCATCAATTATGGATAGCTATTTGCCAAAAATCTGATTGGTTCTCATACACTGCAAACTCATATGGTTATTAACCTCTGGGTTCTACTTTCTCTTAGGTCATCTATCTAAAAGTACACGCCTTGCCTAGAAACTGGAATTCTAAAATATCACTTTCCTTGTGCAACTACGTGTAGCTACCTTAGGAGACAGTTTCAGCTGAATAGTAATGTTTAATTTCTCCACTGGCAGGTAATCCTCCACAGTGCAAAGCTTGGGCAGGGCAGTGTTTTCTGTACCTGTGGGCTGTCATCATTGAAAAGGCTACCATAACCCTACTGGTGCAACTTAATTTTTGGGAGGAAGTTCGTAGGTTTATTCTTTTACCAGTCAAGAACTATCCAAGAGTGGAGCTTGCAATATCAATGCTGATTATTCCTTTTGTTTTCAATGTAAGTAGGTTCCTTGAATTGTAATGTTTAAAAGATTGCTGGTGATGTTTGCACAGCAGAGGTGGTTTAGAAAGAGGGAAAGGAAGAGGTTGTATGTGCTGCATGTTCTTCTCTTTGCAAGAGAGCTACTAAGATGAGTTACAGTACTGTTTTAACCCATTACACCCTAACATCAGTATGCACATTCTCCATACTGTTCTCTACACAATTCCTAAGGTGCTGGCAAGGAGAATTTGTTTTCTAATCAAGAGCTTTTGAGTTGGTAACTGTTTCCTTAAGTCTCACGGTATTAATGCCTGATTCAAGGCTGATACTGTAAGGAGAAATAAGATGCTTATCACTCTCAGGGTGTATAGGGTTAGTGTACATTAAAAACTTTGTTATCTCCTCAGGCTATAATGTTCTGGGTTGTTGACAATTTCCTCATGCGAAAGAAGAAAAAATTATTACAGAAAGAAGACACAAGGAACAAAGTTAAATATGAAAGACGAGCAGTGATGAACGGATCTGATGAAGAGGCTGTGCTCTTGGAAAACATGACAGAAGGAGAGAGTCTGACAATTCCAGATGACAACATTTATCATAGAGGGGACACTGTGAGAAGATGATAGCTCGCAAAATCTTGGAAGATTATAGATACATAAACAGGTAGCCGGTCGCCCCTCTGGGCAGGCTTTTCTAGATGAGCAAATACAGTGCGGAGATTTGTTGATCAATAAGCAATGAAGGTGTCAGTGTGAGAAATGGCATAGAAAGCTCCTTATTCATGCCCCCTAATTTACTTTTGGGTGGTGGGGTAATGACACCTCTCATTAGCTCAGGAATTATTGTGTCATTTTTGCTCTGTGAAGTATACAAACAATCGGCCACCTTTCCCTGAGACGGAAAAATGATTGAGATGTATTTTCCCATTTTCTAGGTAGCTTGCCAATTATTTCCCATTATTTTCTACATGTAGCAATTTGTAATTCCCTTCCTCTTTACTTAGAGTTATAGCAGTTGTACTGTTTTCCTGTTTTTTTTTTTTTCTTTTCAATTACAGAAATTTTAAATTTTGTTGCATTTTTATACATAAAGGAAGGGAGAAGGTGCTGACCTTGTGAAGGTGAGGGATCAGGCCCTCCCTTCATCTGCACAAAAGGGTTAACCCTTGACACCTTATCTAACATTATACATATTCGTCCTACTGTTCTCTGTAAATTTCCAGTAATACAGGCAGGGAAAAGTTGTTTAACAATCAAGAGCCCCTTTACCTGTATGGATTGATCTTCAGAGCATAGCCAACCCTCTTTTTATCTTCAGAAATTGCAGCTCTATTTACAAAGAAGAAATGTAATTTTATTTGGTGTAGCATCAGAATTTCCTGACCAGTTTTGAAGGGCTGAATTAGAAATTCTTAAACTGTATTGTAAATAATAAAAATTTAATGTGAATTCAAAATAGTTTCGATAAGGATTTATGGTGAAATTCAATTAATTCTTGATTTTGGAGAGATTGCAAACAGTTACGTTCAGATACTAAAAAACAATTGTCATGATAAAATTTAACTTGTATTTTTTTTAGTTAATAATTCATAAACTGTTTAACTCTTGTTGCTTCCTGGATTAATTATTGCCTATTTAGGCTTTTCCTTTGTTTACCCAACTCAATTTTTTGTAATTTTATTCAAGTTGAGGGTTTTTTTACACAGGAAGGAAACCAGAAAAGTGTGCTCATCCTCTGTAACTCTTTAACCCTTTAACTCCCAAACCAAATTTGTAATTCTCTTTACTGTCAACCATACAATTCTTATAATATTAGTTCAGAGAATTTAGAATCAGATCAACTAATTTGCCCCAAAGTGATATTTTTCTTTATTCTCATCACTTTTCTGGTTGATATTGTATTGATATTGTAAGGAGAAATTCTGCCTTAGTCACTCATGGGGTAACTCCCTAAATCTGATTGTTAATTCTCTCCTCTAGCTGAAACACATTTCCTTCCTTGTAGATTGTTTATGAGAATTTGGTGTTAGATCCAGATAGCTGATAAATTTGACCATTCTCATTACCTGTTGCTGGATAATGTATGTATGACTGTCATAGAGAGAAGTTAAATTTTACTCACTGTAGGGAAAAAACGTTCAAAATCAAGGTGTCAGTGTTATGACTACTGCAAGATTCCATTTTTTGAAATAACCAACATTCGTACCTTTAACAATTGAGATACTGATTTATAAGAATATTTATTTTTTAGTTCAGATTTTGTACTTTCTGTGTGAAAATCTATTGTTTCTTTGAAAGGAATTAGAGTGAATATTTAAAAAGTGTTATCAGGTTACATAGTATAAGAACTTATATTTTATTAATTTGAAAATGTCTTTGTAGTTGAGCTGTAAACCAGTTACAAGATGTAAAGAGTCTCTTTACGTACACAGTGAATTATCAGATTTGCTTTAGTGAGAATCTTACTTGCCTACTTTCCTCATTTCTTTAGTAAAAATTGATACCTTAAAGCATTTAATTCACCGACCTGTTATACTTTTTTATGAAAGAATTGGAAATAAAGAAAAGTAATTGCTTTTTTTGTATATTTACTTCAATATTATGGACTCAGGGTACTTTTATTACATGGTTTTCCAATATTTAATCCTTTTACTCTCAAGATCTCAGTAACAAATCTCCTTACTGTCTACCATATGGTCCTAATGATGTTAGTTTGGAGAATTTGATACTGGATCAACTGATAATTTCCGTATTGATATATTTCTCTATTCTCATCACTCGTCTGTTTGATATTGTCATGTTATTGTAGGGAGAAATTCTCTGATCACTTGGAGGAGTTTAAGGTTCAAACATTACAGGTGTGCTCTCTCAAAAGGATATTGTTCAACGTTCCTTTTGGGTCTGAAAACTGGGAATTGTTTATCCTGTGCTGTCAACAAGCTCACAATTTTACTACTGTTCTTACGAATAAAAATTTATTCTGGATATTTCGACAAAAAAAAACCCTTTACACAAAGATTTACAGTAATTATTACAAACTGAACATTTTAAGCTTTGATCCATGCTGGTGTCACAGGGAGACCTAATTTTGCCGCGGAAAACCGCTGACCAAAGTAATAGCAGCAAGGTAGTCATCTAATGAGTGACGACCCTCTCCACTGTCCGAGCCACAAGAAGCTTGGTGCCGAGCCTTGAGGTTACCAGTGGGTAAGGAATTGGGACTGAATGATGAGCTCACTGAAGCTGATACACGAGGACCTAACATCACACTGACCGTTTGTGGAGAGGAACACTGTCCCCTGGTGTCCATGTGAAAGACTGTTGAGTTTGCCTCGCCCGGGAAACTGGTAATCCTGGGAAGCATGTCTTCGGTAGCGGGCCCGTTTGGTAGAAACAGAGAAGCGTTTCCTAAAAACGGAGAGAAGAATGGGCTCCAAGGCGGGAAACTGACGGGCGAGGGCTGGAACGTGGCTGGTGACACAAACGGGCTACTGACTGATCGGATTGTGGAATCAGGGAGGGATGGGGTAGGCTTGTTTTTGATCTCGTGCCTTCGCCATCTTGAGCGGCGATTCTGGAACCAGACCTGAAGAAAGAATTAGAACAATTTCAGTCAAATACATACACATAACAATACTGCACACCTGAGTGGGATCTCGTCTCTGATTACAACCGCTTTAGTCAATATGATCATACGCTGAACTCTGTTACCCTAAGTATAGCATGGCAATTTTCAATCGATTGTCGAAAGTTTAATCCGGAATTGTATTGGTATTGCCTTACTTAATTCTTTGGTTGGTTCAGAAAAATCGCAGCACTCTCTCAGATGTTAAACTAAAACCATTAAACCTGGTCGCCTGTGTGGGTTTTTGAATCATTAATTTTTCTTGTGCTTAGCTCAGATAATTTATCGCTAGATTCGAAAAGTGGCTATGTCACATGTTGTCTTATCTTAGGTCTTCATAGTACCTATTTGAGTGATATGTCTGAATTAACAAATTTCCTTTCAGTCCGAGATGAATCGTCAATCCTACCTGAATCCTGTCTTCTCGTATGTTCAGTTCTCGCGCCAGCTTCTCTCGTAAGTGAATACCCGGGAATCGTTCTTCTTGGAATGCTTCCTCCATACGATTGAGTTGTTCATTAGTAAACGCTGTTCTTCTTCGCCTTTTTCGCAGTTGGTCATCTTAGGGAATCAATAAATAAAATTGTTAATTCGCTTTGGCTATAAAATCCCAGCGCACATATATCCCACATATATCTCTTTAAGGAACGCAATAAGAATAATTAATTATAAGATTCACGTTATCTTATTATAGCATACTAATACTAGCTGTCCTCATGGCGTGTAAGTGCAGATGAGCAAAATCGTGATCTTGTTTTCAAAAGATTATGATAACGCATACTCTCCTCGTGGAAGTAAACCGAAAGTGCAAGGAAAGCTGCAAAATACTTCTTAAATGGTTTACATTATAATGTATTAGTTTTTGTAGAGAACTTGTGGATTAAGTCGCTTATTTAAATTCGGTTACATTTACTTACATTCAATTTCCGCGGCTGGTCTTTTGCAGGCCTTCCTTGAGTTCATTTTTTAAATTCCGGTGAGCGAAGTTTCAACTTTGAAGTGCACAGCTCACAAGAGACGTTCTCGACACAGAAGTATAAAAGGTAACTGACTGGTTGTGAAATTAATTTTTTTATATAGCACACGCTGTTCAGATGTGGGCGGGCTACCACCAAACTTGTCATTGACTTGATTAGAAAATTGTTTATCACACCTATTGTTATTTCTTAGTGCGCGTCTAGCCATTGTTATGCACCAACTTTCACCTAAAATGATTTGTAAATTATTTTCCACATGTATTGTTATTAATTTTTTCACCTCTCTCTATTGTTACATGCATCATCACGCACAAACTTGAAAATTAGACTCGTGTTAAGTTTAGTTTCACTGAAGTGTCAAAACTCCCAATTTATTTTCCTTCACTCAGATTTGATCTGATTTTTCATTAAATTTAAACTTAAATCGGTTGCCCTAGGTTGGAAACATTAAGGAAAGAATCAAAATCACTATAAGCTTCCTTCAAAACGAATTGACGCGCGCATGAAAATCCTGAACGTTTTAATTTAAGCAACACAATCTAGCCTTTCCATGCAGAGAGCCATCTCTTAAGGACAACTTTTTATTATGAAGAGTTTCCTGTGTACCAAAATAAGCCTCCCGGAGGAAAATACTTTGTGCGAAAGTCGATTCAATCTAATCTGCTCTCAAAAGAAAATATTTTCTATCACTATAGTTGTTATCTCTGGCGGACACCTCTTTATTACCTTAATGACTCTGAGTAACGAGGGGACCGTGTCTGAGTTTATACGAAAGTCTGTTCCTTTATTGATACATATCTTATTACTCATTCATTCGACAACGCTCGCAAGCGATACGCAAATTTAAAGTTATCAGGCTTCACACGTTCATCCATTTGACATGAGTGGAATTTATCTGATACGCCATCTAATTAATAGGAATTCCAATTTCAAGTGCGTGTGTTCAACCTTTTCTACAACATGGTTTTCTGTACAAAATAAAAGAAAACATAACCAAAAATAATCCAGTCTTTTTTTCTGGATTCCTTACACCTGAGTGAATAACTTCTACAGGAATCAGAATGAACTCTGAAACTGAATAGAATGGCAAACGTTGGAATTCGAAAGGAGTTTACACAGTTTTAAAATGCAATATTTCTACGAACTGCTCAATTGTCTTACTGTCTTAGTTCGGCTGTACAAACCGACAACGAAATAATGAGCACTTAAGCGCGTGTAAACGTGGCGTAGGGCCAAAAAATTAACACAACAGAACAACTGAAAAAACGAGTAAGAGGCTTGGTGCGCGGTTCGGGTCCAACCTCCGACTGCCTCGATCCAAACCACCTAATTTTTTGATTTTGATCAAAGAAAATTGACCGCCATCGCGAGTCACTCGAATTGGATCTGAATAAAACATGGTAACAACATTCCACGTTTTGAAACTTTAATGAAATCAAAGTTGATAATAATCGTTAGTTCACTTTTATTTAAAAGGGACTCAAAAAATATCGAGCGTGCAAGTTTTACAATTGCAAATGGTGCTTACTAATGCATCAACAATGGAAAGACGGTCAGAATTCAATAACAATGTCTGTGAACAAAATATTTACAATCAAGTCAATAACAACTGTTCGACAATTAAACTGATGTGTTAATCAATCTACTACGCAAGTAAATTACAAGTCTATTTACAACTTGGTAGTTGACCACCAACGTTCTAAGAATCTGTCTTGGTTTTAGTTTTGGATATTTGACTGTTATAACGATATTTCAAATTCATTATTAATCATGTAAAAATGCGAGTCACCCCAATAACAAAGGTATTATGATAGCGATTTCACTATTAAATTTTCCAGCATCGAAAACCTTGGACGCTCCGAAAAAGGCTCTATATTCAAACTAATTCCTTGGTTGCATTCCAAATACAAAGCAATGATTATTATGAATCATGACTACAGGGCTCTTTGCTAAGATTTCTTCACGGCTTTGTAAACGAATCTAATACAGGACTCTAACTGCATTGAAAAGGCTTTCTATAGATATCACACAAGCTGATGAGTGGCTTTAGTCATTCAGTTGAGAACAGTGACCAATTCAACCAATACCATTTATGTAAAGATTAACGAGGGAAATTGGCCACAACTTGCGTTGGTTCTATGTCTGCTGTCATAAGGATCCTTGAAAGTGAAAAGCACTCCCTGGCACTCAACAGAGCTTTGGCCTCGCTGTCCGTACCATGACAAAGGACCTTTGATAATTGATAGTAATTCGTAATCTTTATATGCCTCCAGATGAATCGGACGGTCAAACAATACATCAAAGCCATAATATTTAGAGTTCTCTCTGGCGGTTGATGCGTAATTTCCAGACTGTGTTACCAGACACTTTGTAAAAGGTTCGGTACAGTTCATCTGTAAGGAAACCTGGTACTCATTTCCTTCGGAGCCAAAAAGCTCAACCCCGCGAAGCCTGATGGGTTTATTGACTGAGAACTTCAATTTGTCAGTGCTATCAACGTCGTAGCACCACTTGCTAGAATTGCTCGCCGAATAATTTACCGCTGATGAGGCATTTGCCTGACGGTATGACCGGGCTAATTGACCGCTACGCAATTGGTTGCGGGTCGGATAATGAGAATTATCATATAATTTAACTTTCCTGGTCTGACTAATTGGCATATCAAACCCTGAAAATCTGTGGCATCGAAAAAAGCTGGCAATAAATCTTTTCTCTTGGGAAAATGGCAAAGAAAGTGTTGGAACGTTGCTGTAGTATCTCATCATGTCGCTGTTCTCCTCATTTGTGAGAATGCCAGAACTTAACACCACAGACGCAAACTCTGCCTGAGAAATTAGAGGAAACCTTATGGCTTTAACAATTTCATCTCCGAGAATTCGTCTTTTTAGGTGACCAGTAAGAGTTTGTCCTTGCTTTACAATTTTTTTGGTGGCCCACTGATCTATTGCCTTAAAGAGATCTACTTCCTTAACATTCAACGTTCTTCTTTTCACGACAGACTTGACAACAGATATTTCAACTGTTGAGAATCCATCTGACATCAACGCCTCGTCCGCTTGCATCTCAATAAGTTTCCAACATTTTCTTTCTAACTCTTTCGCTTCGAATTTCTCAGCAGCGACTAGAATTTGAAAGACATTCGATACTTCTAAAATGTCACGCAAATACTTAGTGCATTTGTTCACGAGCGAAGGCACCATGTATTGCGTGGCTAAGTTCAACACTTGCATTACGTTGCTTCCGCTCAAATTTACTTTGTCGTAGTACAAGAAACGAAGCAACTCCAACAGGCTCTCGTACTCATAGTCAGGTAAATCAATAGAGTTTTTAGTTTCCGCCATTGGGCCGTAGAACATGGCACAAAACACAGGACTGCTGATTGCAAGAATAAACTTGTGAGCTGGAATCACCAGCCTCTTGCCGTTTGACGCTGGAACAACAAATTTTATATCGCTTAGTAACTCTCTGCTGAATATAAATTTGTTTCTGTCTAAGACAGTAAGACACTTTGTCTGCCAGTCTTCTGCTTCAATAATCGGTGCGTCAGCGACAGCTGTGTTGTTTGCAGCCTCCGCAGCCCCTGAAATTTCGTAGTTTGTTGCCATCGTTGCTGTTACTGATTTGTTGGCGTTCTTTGATAAAACAATCCCCATATAGTCTCACTTGATATCCTTTCACTAATGGTTTGTGATCGAGAGTCGCTGAGCAAAAATTGAAGATAAGAAATCGACGAGATCTCGGTTAGATATGTTTACTTCTTGCAACGAATGAAAGCTGGGCCTCTCGATTTTCGTAATTTAATAGCCTTGAGGTTATGTGATTACCCAAATATTCAAAATATTACGTAGTGTTCTGTTTCTAAATATTATATTGCGTCTCGAAAAATCTACTGCATGACAGACTGTACTTGGTACGTTTGAACGTAGTTTTACGTCACATCGGCCTGTTCCACGCTTGATATTCTTACTATTAACATTATTGTTGCTATCATTGTTATTATTATTATTATTATTATAATTTTTATCATTATTATCATAATTATTATACCTATCATTATTATCATTACACCTATCAATTCTAAGCTTTAACTTCTCCCCCTAACCCTCGGACAACCCACGGGAATTTCACTGTCGCCCATGCCCGGGGGAGGGGAAATTTGAATGTTTTAGATGAAGACAGATTAAAAAGTGTCATAACTGTAAATGTTAACCCCCCACCCCCCCCCCTTCTTCCACGACCGCAGGTTGGCTACTTTCCTTCGTCCCAAGGACGGCCCTTTAATCAACAAGTTTATTGATCAACACAAGTTTATTGTGTCTTAGGCTCAGCTATTCAGGTGTGACATAACATAATGAAATGGCACATTAGCCAATTCTCTGTATTCAACAAAAATTAAATTCAAATTTAAAAGTTTATACCATAAAATTCGTATGGGGTTGTTGTATCAAAGAACGCGGCCGAACCAGTAACAGCAACGATGCCTACAAACTACGAAATTTCGGGGGCTGTTGACTATAACACGTCTGCCTTTGATGCACCGGTTATTGATGCATATTGGCAGCCAAAGTGTGATACTGTCTCAGACAGAAACAAATTTATATTCAACAGGGAGTTACTAAGCGATGTAACATTTGTTGTTCCAGTGTCAAACGGCGAGAGGCTGGTGATTCCAGCTCACAAGTTTATTCTTGCAATCAGCAACCCTGTGTTTTGTGCCATGTTCTATGGTCCAGTGGCGGAAACTAAAAACTCTGTTGATCTATCTCACTACGAGGAAGTAAATTTGAGCGGAAGCAATGTATTGCAAGTGTGAACTTGGCAAAGCAATACATGGTGCCTTCGCTCGCGAATAAATGTACCGAGTATTTGCAAGACATTGTAGAATTATCAAATGTGTTTCAAGTTCTAGTTGCCGCTCAGACATATGAAGAGAAAGATTTGGAAAATAAGTGCTGGAAAGTAATTGAGGTGCAGGCAGATCAGGCTGTGACATCACAGGAATTCTTTACAGTTGAACGATCTGTTGTCGAGTCTGTTGTGAACTGAGAGAGACACGCTAAATATATATAAAGGACGCAGATCTCTTTAATTAAAGCAGTAGATTAGTGGACAACGAGAAAAATTGAAAAGCATGCGGAAACTCCTGATGGTGCCTTGAAAAGAAGAATTCTTGGTGGAGAAATTATAAAAGCGGTAAAGTTTCCCCTAATGTCTCAGAGAGAGTTTGCCTTTGTTGTTATAGATTCGAGCATTCTTACAGATAAGGAGCTGAGCGACATGATGAAATACTACAGTAATATTTCCGCAACCTCTCTGCCAATCTCGCAAGTTGAAAGACTTCAAATTAACTTTCTAGGTGCCATAGATTCTTAGGGTTCCATGTACCAAGCGGTGATTATAGGTATGGCGACTGATTTTACAACGCTAATTCGACTGACAAGCTCAGATTCTCAGTCAGTAAACCTATCAGGCTCCGTGGAGTTCGGCATTTTGGCTCCAAAGAAAATAAGTATACGATTTCCTTGCAAGTAGATGATGTGCTATATTTCCTACCAATTTGTCTTGTAAAACAGTCAGGAAAGTACACTTCGTCCGAGATGAACAAGACTAACAAATATTTTGGCTTTGATGTATTGTTTGACAGTCTAGTTGATCTGAAAGCAGATCGTGAATACGAGTTAAAATCTAGCTAGTATCAAAGTTCCTTTGTCATGGTACGGAGAGCTTGGCCAAAGTTATGTTGAGTGCCAGGGAGCGATTTTCACTTTCAAGGATCCTTCTGAAAGCATCCGTCTCTGAGTCCTCATTGGCTAATGATGATGTAAACCTGTGTTCTGATTGGTCGCTGGGACTACGTTGGTTTTGGTTTTTCAACATTCAGTGGAAAACTGCTATGCTCCATAGAAGTAACCATGGTAACTAGTTGTTTGTTTTTGAAATATATATTTGATCCATCGCAACTTAGAAGGATAAATGAATTCAAAGCTCAAAACTAAGCTTTGAATCGCGATCGCGCTAAAGTAGATCTATATATTTCCAAAAAGCTCAGTATGAAGGTTGATATTAAAGATGATGTCGACAAGAGTAAAAGAGAAAAATTCAGCCCATTATTTCATATCAGTTGTAATACGAGTAGACTTTAAAATTTTGGTAATGAGTGAATCTAGGTATGTACCTACAGATGAAATCGTCGAATGGGGTTTTTTGGATTGTTCCAGGCTTTTGATTCAAAAAATTTTGTGACGTTATAAATTTTGTGAAGGCACTTTTAACACCGTGTGACTTCTGGTGTTGATGTCTCTTTCAAAGCGATCTATTCAATTACATGAGATAAGGAATCAGTTTCATCATGAAGTGAATTTCGACTGATCGTCGTAAAACACAAACCAAAGTCATTAAAGCACAAATCATTACTGCGAAGAGGATCACTGTCATCTTCACAAACCAAAATAGTTTTGTGAGTGTCATCCTAAGTTACCTGATTTGGTGAAAGTACTGATTAGTACGATTTCATTTGAAAAAAATATTATAATATCTGTTTCGTCAATATAATGAATTGTTAACTTGATTTTCCTGATTGATTTTGATTGACACTAGCTTATGTAATTAAGCCACGTGAATAGTTCAGTTTTCAGTTCAGATGCTTAAGATTCGAAGATACGTACAAGTTCTGCTAACCTGTCTTGCTGACCCGTGTTCTGTTATACCCTGACCTGTTTCATCTGTTGCTGACCTGTACGTAGCTATACACCGTGAAACAATCCTACTAGACATCGTCATAGAAGTAAGTTCTCAGTGCTGTAATTCTATCTAATAGTTTTACTCGTGTGTTTATGAATCGATGGATCCTGTTCAATTTCTCAAATGTATCTCGTTCTTTTCTTTAGATCGAATAATAATATATTGGAATAGATTATGCGATTTGCGTAGCCTAGTTGGATTGCCTGTTTGGTTTTGTTGGACCAATATCTTTGCTGGTTTCCTATCTTGTGATTGGTTGATTTTGTATATTAAAGTTATCCCGGTAACATGCTGTAGAGTGATTGTTATATATACACTACTGACCAAGCGTGAGGTCAAGATGGCTGGATATTGGCCGACTTCAGTTTTTGGACCTAGACAAATTCGAGGTCCATAAAAACGCAAATAATTTGTCAAATTTACATAGTTGACTCTCGTTGGTGAGCTAAGCACGATGTAATGGCAAGGGAGAACAAAAAAAGGGTAAGGTTTGGGTCGAGTTGGTTTTTGAGATGTGACCCACGCGTCAATGCGTGCTTATATTTCTTGTTGGTTTGTTTGGTTTTTTAGTCTTGTTCTGTACCATGTTGTTACACCGTGTTTCTCAGCTGATGGACTGGCACGCTAAGAACGGTTGGTGTTGTAATGTACTAGTCATGTGATCTACATGAGGTGTCTCGTTTAGCTTTCTGTTGTGGTTTGATAACGGAACAAAGGGCTTTCGATTTTTCCATGAAATACCTAAAAAAAAAAAAAAAACTTTACCCTCGACGGGAAAACTAATATTATGTTATCGTAAGAAGGAATGAGGAAAAGCTTTCAGTTCTGTCGTGGACATTTCCTGTTTCCTTTCTCCAGATTACTGATGAGTTACAGCAACGGATTATAATCTCTTGGGTTTCAGGCGGAATGGTATGACAAGGATTTGCACATTGTTGCGGACCTATGTTTGGATTTAAGGAAAATGATGAAACATTGGTAACATCCCTGTGAAATTCGAGTAGCCTTTGAAGTTATCTTATAAACAACAACAAGTTGTTGCAAAAAAACGAAATATAAGTTTCTCATTTTCACCCAAACTTCCAGCCTACTTCAACAAGTTCATATCCCACCCTCAGAAAACCGAGCCTGCAGCAAATTAAACCTGCGGTAGGGTATTTAACGCATGCTCGGATTAGTCCTTCAAGTTTATTCTCGCAGAAAATCATTGGGGGATATGTATTTTAAACTATAGCTTTTCGTTGTCCTTTTATTTCTTCCATTGTTTTTTTGTCATTGTGGTTTTATTTCCCTTAATAATGCGTGGGGTTGTCGTAGCAAGTATTTTTCTCGTTGTACACTGTATGTGTGTAGTTATAAACGCTGAATTCGTCCGCGATCAACCGTCTACAGACGTCCAAAAATTATCGATCTCGAGAAAATCCCTGAACTCTCATCGACGTTTTCGCCGAGACGCGAAACACGAGGATGAAAAAGATGTAGTCAACGTAGGAGGAGACGGGAAATGTGACAATCCTGCCGTGGATGAAAGCAGTAAAATCGAAGATAATCCAGTAAGTCTAGTGCATTTTGCAGTTTTGTTTTTTGTTTACAAAGAACAGCCATATTTCCGCATCTTGTAACAACGGTAGTTGCAATTCATTGGAACCTTTTTTCTTTTTTGAAGTGGAAGTTTGAAAACGAAACAAAGATGAGTATTTCCATCAGCTGGATCGGTAAAAAACAAACTGGAGAAGCTGCGGTGAGTAGAGCTTTTAATCACGACCCTTATTTTTTCGCTTTACGAAAACTACGTCGTTTACCTCAGCGATACCGATGCATCTACCAACTGAAATTAGTACTCGGTTTAATTTACCTAGTGCGGATCACATGATGATCGGTGATGTTTAGACAGAATTATAGGCTCTCAGTATGTGCAAACTTTCTATCAAACCTTTGCTCGATCTTACGGCTCTAGCAAGTGTTTTTGTTTTTAAATTTTAGGTGCTTTTTATCCCCTGCAGTTATTGTTTACCATAAATCATAAAATGTCGGCTATTAAATTATGAAGGACAAATTACCATGGTATCCAAAAATTCCTCTAGGAATGCCCTTTTTTCTTAAGATATATGCGCATGAAGTTTTGGCTCGCAGTTTTTTTGTTTTTTTTCCTAACAAAGGCAAATGTAACATTTACAGGGAAAGATTTAGACGAATTTCCATGAGATTGTTTAAATTTGACATGGAGTGGTACTATTAAATATCAAATGATTTTTAAATCTTTACAGATACAGATACAAATTGAATTTTATGTCTGACTGCACTGATTAAAAAAGCAGTTGTTTATTTTCTGTTTTAACACACTTAAACAAATAATGGGTGAAAGAAGCATGTGTGGGTGATTAATAGCCAAATTCCCCTCATTAAAAAATCATTAAACAAAAAGAATTAAAGAAGAGATGAAAATAAGGAAATGGTAGAATTCTGCTGTGTCTTGTAAAACTGAGGTAGATTGATGATCAATCTACAGTGTAGCTCTGTGGAGGTAGATTGATCATCACAGTAAGTCAACCCTTTCATTCCCAAGATCTTGTCAGTAATTCTCCTTACTGTCTGCCACAAAATTATTATGATGTTGATTCTGGTAATTTGGTTACTGCTTACTTATAATCTCCTTTGTGATATTTTCCTTTATTCTCATCACTAGACTGCTATTATAAGGAAAAATTTTGCCCTGATCAGTTTTGGGGTAAACAGGTTAAGTTAGGTTTTTTTTTACAAGTTTTTGTGAATTAACCCTTTAATTCCCAGAAGTGATTAACATAAAACTTCTCCCTACAATATCCATACATTCTTCAGCAAACAGGTGATGAGAATATTCAAACTTATCAGGTAGAAGCTGCTATCTTGATCTAGCACCAAGTTCTCATAACTAATTTACAAGGAAATGTGTAGCAGCTACAGGGGAGAATTAACAATCAGATCTTGGGAGATAAAGGATTAAAAGGAAGTACTATATTGATTTAATTTAGTGTCCTCATTCCAATTCCACTGTTGCATAGCACTTTCCAAGGGCTTTGGGAGATATATAAAACTGTATAAAAGTTGTTTGGAAATAACTCTTTATAAAAATAAGTAATTTAAAAGTTTATGTTGTTACTAAATGCTTTTTAAAAAAATGAAATTGTATATTACATTTCTCTTTTATGTCTTTCTTTCAGACAATGCTACTGTTGGCCACAACTGAGCTGATGTTTTTCTTCAGCAAACCTTCAGACCTTTACAAAAGGTAAAAAAAAAAAATGGATATTGTTATCATTGTAAATAGTGATCAAATGTATTCGTATGCCTTTGGTCAAAGTAAACACAAACTGCCTGGATGGCTGGTCATTTTTTTTGTACATGTAATTCTGGTTGAGATATGTCGTAGTTAGTAGTTTTGTAAGGACTGTTCTGTTGCACAGTTTGTTTTTTTCTATTCTCCAAAGTTGAGTTGTGAAAATCAAAATGACACAATGAATCTTCAGGAGGCAGCTTAGTTCCAGGAGGAACTATCTGAAGCTCCTCTCTAATGAATCTATGCTTTGATCCATCTTTCAGATAGTAGAGAACTGGCTCTCCTTCATTCACAATTGATCTATCTATGTTGTTGACCTTCGTAGACTTGAAGCTCTTTTCTGTCTGCCTTCCAACTCACCAGTTGCATACAAGTACCTCACATTCTTTGAGGAGTTGAATGTCCTCTCCTTCAAGCCAACATGTCTTGAATAAGGGGTTGAACTCTTTGCATCAATCACCTTTAGTTATCATTGATCGCCTTAACAGGACTCTTTCCCATTAATTGAGTCACTTCATGATTCAAAGCTGAGAGAACTTTTAGAAGTCTTTTCAACTGTTCAGTAAATCTCTTTCGGGATGGGAAATTCATCTACTGACCTGATACTGAAAACTGAACAAACCTTCACCCAAAGTTTGATGGATTTGCTCAATGATTCCTTGATCTCTGTGATGGTCCACATTCCCTCTCCTTATCCTCACATCATGCTTTTCCATTTCTTTTGTGACATCACCTATGAATTCATGCCCAGGATCGACCTTAAGAACTTTTGGCCATTTTAGTGATCCTCTCTAATAAATTCTCTAAAGAATCCCTTGAAGTTAGTGGTTCAGCATCTTTGTCACCATTTGCACTCAGAAATTTTCTTCTACATAAGAAGGGGATGGCTTGTTTTCCTTCTTCCTTTCTGATAACTAGTTTTCCTTCTTGATGGAATACCTTGGATTCTTCTCACTGCTATTGTTCTTGGCAATGGAACTGTTTGAGAACTTTTTGGTCTTGGCAAAGGGATTGTATTTTCAACCTTTTTTGTTCTTGACAAAGGGATTGGTTTCTGTCTGTTCACTACTAATTAACATGTATGGTGTTGATCTTAGTTTTTCATCCACATTCTTAATGCCAAGTGTCTTTTGTAGCTCTGGCTCTGTGAGGTACAAGGTGTTTTTCATGTTTTTTCATTTCAAAATATCTCTCCTTTTTATTTAAGATGAAAAAAAAAATACTTGTATTTATCATCTTCAATAAAATGAAGAAAAAACCCTTTTTTCGTCAGAGGAGAAAAGTTCAGAAGAATATTCATGATTCTTAATGATAAATTTTTGGAAGGCAAGACTGTTACAGTTAAAGAATTGTGATACTGGTTACTCACTTGAACTCGACACATTGCAGAAGTTTGATATTTGCATTTGAAAATGCATTCAACTCTTTGTCTGAATACCTGAATTCAGTTCACAAATCTTGACAAGAATTTGATTACCAGAAGAACAGAGTAAAAATATGGAATGACTGATAAGATTTGAATATGATGTTGAAAATCCTGAGAGATTTACAATAAGGAAAGTAAGGGATGAAAATTTCATCACGGAAAGCTTTTATGATGACCAAAGGAGATAAAGGTTTCACTATTGATATCTTGAATATTCATCATAGCAAGTAGCATGTGCTGTGGTTCAGCATACTACGTGAAAGACAATAACTAGCATTCCAGATCTCTTTAGCTACTGTTAAAGTTGAGAAAAGATTTTTCATTTAGTTCAAGAGTTACAAATTGTTAGGGAGATCTGAAACGTGTCAATTACATACCTTTGGAATAATGTGTCTTTACAATGTATACACTTATGTCTTGAGATGACCAAAGAAAAGCCGTGATTCAGTTGCTTGTCAAATGTGACTCTTAACTCTTTCTGCTGAATGTTCACAGAAAACCAAGTTTTTTTCTGATAGTCTTTCTTGATCTGTTCCTTCAGAGTTTTGAGATCAACTTTCTCACTGTTTTTAGGAGAGTGTTGTCTGAGCTTCTCTTTCAAAACATGATATTGCTCAAACTCAGGCAATATCAAGTTGAAATTCAATATCTAAGATCATGGTGGATTGTTATCATGAAGAATAATTTACTGCTTCAAAAGGTTTTTCTCTGACATCAAACATCCCAAAACGATTGAAATATCTCCATGAAAGTGACTGTTGTCTTTGTCTAAGAGATCAGTTTATTATGTAGCTGTTCAGTGAAGCCAATTGACAGATCATATTGTCTCCTTGTTGCTAATGACAACCAATCCCCAGTTGTGAAAAGATCTGTATCTAAGGAGTTTAAAATTCTGAGAGCATTTTTCAATGAATTCATCAAAATTTTTAGTCCCTCTTTATCCAATGTATTTCCGCGGGCTTTTTGCAAGACTTTCAATATTTTAGTTTCCAGCAGGAATTGTTTCAGCAGAGAATTGTCTTGTACATCATCAAAGCTTGGAAAAATTCAGGCTTTTTGTTGGGATTCTAACCTGCGATATGTCTTGAATGTAAGGCAGATGCCATACTGTCATGTGAACTTTTTTGCAGGGACTACATATTTCATTTCTGTTGCAATGACTTTGAAGACAGTACTTCCTAATTTTTTTTTCCTTAAGATGTGAATTGAACTTGTCTGTACTTAATTTCAGAAGGATAGATGGTAAATGTAACTTCTTTTTCTTGTTTTCTTGTTTCAGTGAGGACTTTGGAAAAACTTTCAAACATGTGAATGCTGAAGTTTTTAATATGCATATCAGAAAAGACAGTGGAATCTTAAAAAGCTCAGTTAACCCTAATAAGGTTAGTAACTCTCCCATCTTGTGTCTCTACATTTCCTTGTTAATTATGGCCAAGTTGAAATAATAGGGTAATTTAGCATTCTCAACTGAGTTGATGATGTAAATTTGGCCACCATTAAGAGTTTTAAAGCTGACGGTTTGAGCATTAGCCCTTTGTTATTTGCTTTGATGAAAATGTCAGCTTTTAAACTCTTTATGGTGGCCAATTTATGTTATCATCTCAGTTGATTATGCTAAATTACCCTGTTGTACACAGCACCTCAGTTTCTCTAGAAACTTACCACTTTCATTAAGTTGAGAGAATGTTGTATTTTATCAAGAAAACCCTTAAATGACTAGTTTGTCTATTCTTATGACCTGTTTCTATATTAAGTATTGATCTTGCAAGGAGAAGCTGCACATTGATCATGAAGTGGGTTTGATTTCTTGGGGAGACTGAACAATTTTGTTTGTTCCACACTTTTGACAAGACAAATAACAGCTTCCTTTACTGAGCTATTGTCATTTCCACTGTCACCTCAGTCTGAATACTAACTGGGACTTAAACCCTTCAACACCCAAGATTTGATTATTAATTCTCCCCTCTAGCTGCTCACATTTCCTTGTAAATTAGTTAGGAGAATTTGGTTTAGATCAAGACAAAAATTTCTACCTGATAATTGTTTAGTATTCTATTCCTTTCCTGCTAATTAATGTATGGATATCATGTATTAGGGAGAAGTGGCATGTTTTAAAATCACATCTGGGAGTTTACAGTTGAATGTGCTATTTACCATTATACCACATTATCATCAACTTATTTAGCTGTTCTCTTGACTGATGCTTTGATTCTGTTTATTTTTATTTGTAGGTTATTCTAGTTTCCCATAGCATTCCATTTTTCCCAACACAATCTGGCCTGGTTATCACCAAAAATGGGGGAAAAAGTTGGGAGAAGATGAAAGTTCCATTTCAGATCAGTGGACCACTTCTGTTTCATCCATGGAAGGAAGATTGGATCTTGGCAAGGGCTGTTGTTAATGGGATGGTAAGAAGGTTTGACTGTCAGATTGTCATTAATGAGTTACTGATGGCTTTTCAAGAACTTTCTAATTAACTGACTCAGACCAACTTTGTAAGTGACTTGCTCAATAACTGATGGCATGAGTGAATGACTCACTGACTGATTCTTTTGGCTGACTAACTTACTGACTGACTTATAGACTGACTGACTTACATACATACTGATTGACCGACAGACTTACATATTGACTGACTGACTTACAGATTGACTGACTGACTGATTGACCTGTAGATTGACCGACTGACTTACAAATTGACTGACTGACTGATTGACCTGCAGATTGACCGACTGACTTACAAATTGATTGACTGACTGACTTACAAATTGATTGACTGACTTACTTACTGAATGACTTGCAAATTGACTAACTGACTAACAGATTGACTGATTGACTGACTTACTGAATGAGCAGCAGATTGACTTGCTGACTTACAGGCTGATTGACTGATTTAAAGAGTGATCAATTGTGTGACTCACTGAATGACTGACTGACTTCCCAACTTGCAGATTGACTAACTGACCTATAGATTGACTGACTGACTGATTTATTGAATGACCTGCAGATTGTCTAACTGACTTACAGATTGACTGACTGACTTACAGATTGACTGACTGACTTACAGATTGACTGACTGACTTACAGACAGACATACTGATTAAGAGAGTGATCCATTGTGTGACTCACTGAATGACTGATTTATTAAGATCACTTCCTTGAATTTTGTTGCTGTCAAACAGGCCAACTTAAATGCAAAATTTGCATCAACAAACCATCTTGTCTCCTTTATATTTTATAGGCATATTTATCAACAGACTTTGGACAGAACTGGAAATTTTTACAGAGTTATGTTAGGAGCTTAAAATGGTAAGAGAAAAGGCGAGATGTTAGTTCAAAAATTTCCAAGCAAGTTCAAGTTTTAGGTTTCTTTGTTTTATTGAAGTTGTTTGAAACAAATGAAAATGAAAATCAAACTGGGGTGAACATGTTTATTAAAAGAGGCAGGGAGAAATTTGAACTGGAACATACACTGTTTGTGTATACCCAACTAGATGTCATCTTTATGTCAGAGGAACTTTTAAATGTTGTTGTTTTGATTTGGTCTTAGGGGTGCCATCACAGATATGAAAAAGGAAGAAAACACAATTTTAATGACAGTCTCATCCAGTGAGTAACCTTTTGGTGACTGTGCATTAATCAGCTTGTAAACATGTAGCTACTTTGAATTGTTTGATCTATTGTGTTTGTTGTCTTGCAGTTCTGGAAATAGCTTGTTATTTTAAAGGGGTGATAATGATATTTTGAAATGTCATAGCTTTTGGAAAAGGTTCAAAACATTTTTTAAATTCTCGTCAACCTCTTATGAGTCCCAAAGTTTTGTGCACAGAGGGTTGTATCTTGGTCTTGAAGTCTTGCACTTGTTTTATACAGTGAACAGAAAGCTCCATTAGTTAATCACAAATCTGGAAAAAATTCACATAATTTCAAAACTCCTATCCATGTTGAGCAGAGAACAGAAAATTATTTTCTTAAGTTGCCATGCATGTATCTGCCTTGATAATATTATGGGCAATGACCAATCAAAGTGCATGCAGTATTCCATTTTATGTTTTGTGTAAATGTAATGTTGCCAATAGATCAGTTTTAATCGAAGAAAGTGTTTAATTTTATTGATACTGTAATCATATGTGTCTTTAAAATAAACAGATGCTAATAGCTTCCTAAAAGGAGAAGCCAAGTTGCTTAGATCAAGGGACCTTGGAGAAAAGTTTGAATGTAAGTTTTAAAAAATAGCTTTAAATGATAAGATATTTTTTGATGACCCAGACATTACCTACAGAACAAGTTAGAAGAATAATTTCTGCTCTCTTTCAACCTAGTCCATACACTTTGAAAAAATTCTTCCTTTTTGTGATATGATGTAGTCAGTTCTGTTGAAGATCACAAGGCTTTGACTGCATAGGCCTCGTGTCTCTTCGTCAATTGATTCAGTTGGTAAGATTGATAGATCAGACATTATACGTTATACAGTATGCTTTGCTCATAGTGGAGCTATTATTGATAGCTGAAATGTAGATTAACCATTTTATCTAGAAGTGATCAACATGCAACTTCTCCCTGTAACATCCATATTTAATCCAGTTGACAGGTAATGAGAATATTCAAACTTATCAGGTAGAAGTTGATGTCTTGATCTACCTTAGCACCAAATTCTCGTATCTAATTTACAAGGAAATGTTTAGAGGCTAGAGGAGAGAATTAACAATCAGATATTGAGAGTTGAAGGGTTAAGACTTTACATTTGGACGATTTTCACTTCACTTTTTTTGTGATTTGCTTGCTTCTCTTAGCTATCCACGTTCAGCATGTTTACTCCTTTGGACTTCAGGGCCACTTCCTCTTTGTCTCTGTGCGCCACAATATGGTATGTTAATCCTATTCTTTACATGATGTATTACATCCATTTTGAAATCACTGTGATCTTTGCAATCTGATTGGCTCTCATTGCTGCAATTTATTCTCGAATTGCACCAAGTTCGAGACTTTTCAAAGGCGCAATGTGGTGACGGGGAATCAAGAAATGATTGCCAGTAGAAAAATTTTAATCATTGGTCGCTGGCAATCTACTTTGTTTGTCAGCGTCGTTGGAAAAATATAACAGGATAATTTAGTATTATCAACTGAGTTGATAACGTAAATTGGCCACCTTAAAGAATTTCAAAGGTGGCATTTCGAGCGTTAGCCCTTCGTCATAGCGAAATATATTTTGAAGGCTCACGTGACTTCTTACGACTTTTAAAACCCGTAAGCTTCACAGAAAACTGATGAAACATGAGCCCCTATTCCCGGAACCCAACCGGGACTGAAGGACTTAAATGTCTAGCTTTTACCATGTCTTGATTAATGTCTTTTATCTAAAAAAATATGGAGCGTGAGACAAAACATTTCAATAAAAAGTGTTCAGCAAGAAATAATCTTCAATTATAGAACTTAATTTGAAACAGCGAACAATTAATCGCGGATTGAATATAGAACAACTGGGAAAACTTCCATTATTTACACTATACTTGGCAATTGCTTGGGACATCTGAAGAGAAGGAGGTGCCGACAACGCGTTGGTGATAATTATACGTATAGTTTTTTCTTTAACTAATTCTTGAAAATTATCAAAAATTGTCTTGATCGCCAAACACCGGCCACCAATTTGCCAACTTTCACTGCAAATTTAGTGATCAATATTTTTTTCTACGTACTTTGTTTACCAAAATGGTGTTAGTTTGGAGTGTTATGGACCCATTTATTATTTATTCATAAATTTTTAATTTACTGTCCTTCTTTTCAGAATAACAATTCCCGCACCATGCATGTGTCTAAGAATGGAGGAGATTCATGGGACCCTGTACAAGTGCCAACTGTAACGCCAGAAAGGGTATTGTCGCTTATCATTGAAACATTCGTGTTATTTATAGAGCAATAGCCTGCAGAGCAGGCGTAATTTTGATGAGGGAGTGCTTAGTATTTTCTCAGCGAAAATTATGGCCGCCATCTTTGATTTTAATGGCAACGGAAGGTTGGGGAGAGAAAGAAATTTGTACTAAGTGGGCGGTTGACGGTCAAAAATAAGGAGAGGGGTGGGGGTGGGGGTGGGGGAGTGAAGATTACGGCGTCTTTTCGCCCATCCCCTGCCTATCCCCCCACTGTCCACTCTAGCTCCAAATCAAATATGGCCGGTTGGATAAACGATCGCGATAAGGTTAGCTCGCCAAATAAGACGCCTGCACTGCAGGCTCATCAAGTTAGAGCTAGGCTGTCCATGAGTTTGAAACTGGAAGGCAAAGACGACAAAGAAATTTGCCTTCAAGTTATTGTGGACGTTACTTATCAAATCACACTTACATGTCTCATGTAAGACGGCAAACTGTTAAGTTAAAATGTGTCAGGCATTCCACTGAGTTTGCAGGAGCTTAGAGAAAATTCTGAGCGAGGAACTATGCTCTCAGTTTCTCTCAAAACTGAAAAATAACCGCATTGTGAATTTCTTTGATGTTATTTTAATTATTGTAAGATTTTATCAGTAATTAGGGTGAAATAAGATGAACATAGCTGGCTTAAGACGCCAGACAAGCCTGCAGTTTTGGCTAGCTATCAGTTCTTATTTTGACCGTTGTGAGACTTTAACCAAGTTATCTTTATCTTTTTAACCTTTTAACCCCTAAGAGTGACGGACATCTAATTTCTCCTTACAATATCACCCATAAATCAAACATAAAGGTCATGAGAATAAAGGAAAGGATCACCACCTAAAGAATCTCTTGATTGTTGAACAAATTCTCCTTGTCAGAACCCTAGGAAATGTCCAGAGAGTAGTGTGGAGAATATGCATACTGATGTTAGGGAGTGACATGGCCTTGGTTGGCCAATTATCTTGTCTGCTGACAACCAGTTGTCTATACAAGTTCTATTTATGCCACATTCAAATCCTTTATCAGAGAAAATCTTGAATATCAAATTAAGTGTCCTGTCATTATCTACAGGAAAAACTATTTTCATGTTAAGGACACGGTAGACCTTTGCGGGTGTCCTTCGCCAAAAAAAGTATTGTCAACTCGCTATTTAAAGTGTAACCGCCATAAACTATAAATCAATGGAAAGGTTATGAAATGTGCCATCCGGCAAAAAATTGTTCGGTTTTAGCTTTTGATCGAATCGCAAAACGACTGTAGCCCGTAGCCACTCAAGTTGATCATTCCTTTTTTCTTGCACAGTTTTATTCCATCATGGACATGTCGGAAGGAATGATTTTTCTTCATGTTGATGATCCTGGAGGTTTGTTACGTTCATTCATCTTAAATTCTACTTTATTTTTATTTGCCAGTGTATCTTTTGTTTTGTTGTATAAATAATCTTGCAATTATGTGAAGGAACAGAAATGGCACAGTGGTGAGAGCGCTCGTCTCCCACCGCGGGGCTTGGGTTCCATTCCCTGGACCTGGTGTCACATGTGGTTTGAATTTGTTGTTGGTTCTCTCCCTTGCTTCAATAGCCTGCAGAGCAGGCGTCATTTCGGAGAGCGAGTGCTCAGTATTTTCTCAGCGAAAATTATGGCTGCCATCTTTGATTTAAATGGCAGAGGAAGGCTGGGAAGAGAAAGAAAGTTGTACCAAGGGGGTGAGTGACAGTCAAAAATAAGAAGAGGAGTGGGGGTGGGGGAGTGAATATTTTTCGCCCTTCCCTGCTCCTTCCCCCCACGGCCGTCTGTATCTCCAAATCGGACATGGTTGAATAGACGATCGCAAGATTCGTAACGTTAACTCGCCCTAATAAGACACCTGCACTACAGGTTATTGCTTGAAGAGTTTTTCTCCGCGTCTTTCAGTTTTCCTCCCTCCCAACCAACAATCTAATTCCAATTCAACCTGGAAAGGGTGGACAAGAAGAGCAACCCTGCTAAATTCCAATTATAATAATTCCAGTCATTTTTATTATAATTATTATTACTATTATTATTGTAATTCTTATTATTTCTAATGTAATAACGGTATTTCAATTTTAGATACTGGTAGAGGAGTGTTGTACACCTCAGATGCTGATGGAATTGTGTTCGGTGAATCGCTCCGAGACCATGTGGTACGTTAAGCAGGTGTCTCTTTTATAGCGGAGCTCGCAGAGCGTAGCGCCATAATTATACAAAATAGTAGTAACCCATCAAGCCGAAAAAAATTTGGATGTATGACTGAACAACCATACGACCGTACAAGGTACTACTTTTAACATGCATGGTCAACTGTACCGCAGGCACGCCAACGCCACGGCTTTGTCCAGTAGTCCAGTGGTCAGTGCACTGGGCTCCGAGTCGGACGACCTGGGTTGTAGTCCTGGCCGGGGCAAGGCGTTGTGCCCTTGAGACGTGTGGGTTAAAAAAAAATGCGAGCTCCGCTTTTAGGCTTGGCTAAATCTATATATTAATCTAAATGTACTAGATTGAAAAGAAAATCATTTATGGCCCATAGTAGCTTTCCTCCATTGAACCATTTGACCCCAACGAGTGACTAGCATCTAATTTCTCCTTACAATATCACCACTGAATTAAACATTAAGGTCATGAGAATAAAGGAAATGATCACCAAGTAAAGAAGCTCTTGATTGTTAAGCAGATTCTCCTTGTAAGCAGCTTAGAAAATGTAAAGAGAACAGTATGGAGAATGTGCATCTTGATATTAGGCTGTAAAGGGTTAACCCTTTCGCTCCCAGGAGTGGCTAAAATGAAATTTCTCCTTGAAATGCCAATAGGTTTTTAAGCAGAAAGTTATTGAGGAGAAACTAGGAGACATGTTTGATTAAACGCCAAATTCTTCGCACTCAAATGGTGAGAAATTTTTGGAAGATAGTGCAGAGACTTGATGGTTAGATCTTGGGAGTGTAAAAATCAACCCACTTGTAGCCAAATTGTTAAAGAAGGTTTTTTTGTTTGTTTGTTTGTTAGTACACAAACTATGGGGAGGTAACCGATTTCTACAAAGTGGAATCAATGAGAGGCACTTACTTAACAGGCCGCATGAACCAAGGTAAGTATCGTAATATTTAATAAACCCTGAAGCTAAAGTCTTGCAATAGAATTTTCTAAACGCTTGATTTATAGACAGTACTTGGATCTACACTATGATGTACAAACTCGCGCGTTGGTATGTACTAGAAAAATTGTCAGGGCAAATTTGTTGAATTTTCTTTGGGGTAGTTGATCCGCTATTGGCAAAGCTTCAACTTCTTACACAAACGTTGAGACACCCCGAAAAATAACAGTGTTGTTCATCAAAATTGATTATCAATGAAACAGTGGCTACAAATGAGGACATTTTAAAAGTGACCCTGATAACAGAATCGGCTCTGTAAGCTTATGTTTTACATCGTTATTTAGTCATGACATTTACAGTGTATAAAGATATTGTGATACCAGGAAATATGCATACCTGGTGATGGAAGTAGTTTTTTTCTCGAAGTGATGAGGAACAGCTACTCAGATAGAAGAATTCCGTTCGAAAATGATGACCCGTTTATATTTTCCGAGTACGAACACGTATACACATGTAACAGTACCTTGATAAGGTCGGCTTGCAACGAACAAGTCTTCATGTAGTTCATGGAGTTGTAGTATTTTAGTGCGGTCAGTCTCTTCTTTAAAACAACTACGTGTCAATAATGGAAAAGCAATAAGCTAGCTCACACGTACTAATGAGACAGACGCGTATGTCCTTAGGTGCGTATATGAGCAGTTTATACGCGAATACGCTGATATTTATACGCACATACACTTGCATTTATAAGCATATTATGTCGGTTGACGTAATTCTAAGCGGTATTGAGTTTTGACAAAGTATGAAATCCTTGAAGAAATTGTAAGTGGGAAATGAACAACCCAGTAGGTTATTTCCTAGTTTTAAAAACGCCAACTTTCGGAAAAAGGAGGAAGAAAAAGCTTTTTTTTTTTTCTTTTTGAAAGTGAGTTTTTTATGCATGAAAACGAAATATCATTACAATTACCTTCGTTTTAAAGCACAGGCTTTGAGCATCACGGAAATGGCTTAGATACCGTTAGCAGTAAATTTTTGATGAACTTTCACATATCAGGGGAGTAGGGGTGGCGCAGTGGTGAGAGCGCTCGTCTTCCCCTACCGTGGCCCGGGTTCGATTCCGGGCCCTGGCGTCCCATGTAGGTTGAGTTTGTCGTTGGTACTTGTCCTTGCTCTGAGGGTTTTTCTCCGCGTCCTCCGGTTTTCCTCCTTCCACAGACACTAATATTCCAATTTCAGTTTCGACTTGGAAACAGTGGATAAGCAGCGCCATCTCGTGCAATGTCCATTACTAAATTCTAATTTATTTCCACGAACTGTTTATTTTACACGTATATTTATTTGTTCTCCATTTCTTTGTAACTCCTCAGACAAGAGTATAACGTCAATGATTAGTTTTAACCGTGGTGGTGAGTGGAGCACTATTCCCTTGGCGGATGAACAATGCAAGAACGTCAAGCGAGAGGTATTTCATGAGCACCTCGTGTACAATAACGCCATAGGCTGATACGGTTCTCTGTTCAGTTACGTTCTGGTCAACAACTAGATTAGAGCAGTTTTCGAAATTGAGTGTCGTAAAACCAAAAGCAAAGTAATCCCAGTGACTCAGAGTAATCCTAGTGAAAGCAAGCAAATTGGTCAAGCGCGGGAAAACGCGGACGACCAAGCCCCGATTATTTTTAGTTTGGCTTTTGATTGGTTGAAAGGATGGCGCGAGTTTTCTGGACCAATCGCAAGGCAAAGTTAAGTAAAACCTTTGCAATCCCAGAATACTTTCGACACTCCATTGAAAATTGCTCTATCAGCGTAAGATAACTGTTGCTCAGTTTTTTTTTTCAGTTATGAGGATTGAATTCATAAGGGCGACAGGAACGTAGTGATTTTCACGCTTTGTAGTTCAACCCACGTGGGTCTTTGTGAATGCTTTTTTGCCCGGGGCACAAAATGGAAGATTCAGTCAAATTTCTGGCAAATGTGTGATCGAGAACGCTTGACAAATTTGAGAACTGGCTGCCTCCGAGAAAGCTTTTAAACGACATTCGACTTAGAGGAAAAACTGTTGTTAGCAAAATGTTCGTTCGATCATAGAAGTGGTTACTTAATAGGATAGCCGTTAACCCTTTAACCCCAAAGAGTGACTGGCTTCTAAATTCTCCTTACTATATCAGGCCTGAATCAAACAGTAAGGTCATGAGAATTAAAGAAACGATCACCCATTCAAGATGCTCTTGATTGGTCAACAAATTCTCCTTAAAGTACCATAGGAAATGTTTAGAGAACAGTGTGGAGAGTGTGCATGCTGATGTTAGGGTGAAAAGGTTTAGGAGAAAGTATACTGTATATGCACAGTAGCGCAGAAAAAAACTATTTTGTTTTATTGTATTCAGAATGAAAACTTTTGATTGTGAATCTATCAGCCAGGTGAGAAGTGCTCTCTTCAAATCCATGGCCGTTTCAGTCGAAGCAGAGGTGTAGAGTTTGCCATGGGTCCCTTGAGCATTCCTAACGCGGTTGGTATCATACTTGCTCATGGTAATGCGGGTAGTGCCTTGAACAGAAACGTGGACGTGTGGATGACACGTGACGGAGGGTACACGTGGAATAAGGTAGGTTCAAGTGAAGACCAGGTCTCCTTTGCGGCCTTTGATTGGTCACGTCACGCAGCGCTTTATTGCGAGAGTGAGTTACGTGACGGAACTAAATGATGGCTGCAAAGGATGCTAATATTGTTCAGAAGTTTGTTTTTCTCTCTGGATCGAATGAAAGCTACAGACGGGAAAAGATTGGGAAGAGATTGATATCTCCCCAGCCCTTTCTGTAAACAGGTTATAAACAGTACAAACAGTGCACAAATTGTGGTCTTTCGCAACATGGGTCCCTTGGATCTTCCCGCGCTTCAGGGGGTTGGCTTCTTTTTACTTTGAGTACAGTGTGGCTCCTGGAAAAGTTTTTTTCGCTTTTTTCTGATTCGTCGTTGTGATTGCGTGGCTGTAGGTTTTCCTTTTCTTAGCTCTTTGATTGGTTTAGAAAAATCGCGCCACTCTCTCAACCAATCAGATGCGAAACTAAAACAAATCCCAATTTGGTCGTCCGCGTTTTACCCGCGCTTCAGGCAGTTTTCTTGTTTTCAATTTGAGTTCTCGTTGGCTCTTAAAGGTATTTTCTTTTCTTCTGTTTGACGACATCTAATCGAAAAGTGCTCTAAAACACTCAATCGCAAAGCGTTGCATTAGTGATATCTGTTGTTTGTAGGTTCTGAGTGGCTCGCACCATTACTCCATTGGAGATCATGGAAACTTGATCGTGGCTGTACCAGCTTTCAGCTCTGCCACAAAATATCTCATGTGAGTAATGTTAGTAGTTAGGTTAACAAGTGATGAATAACATCATCGCTTTATCCACTTCTAGGGTTTTTGCAAAGATTTACAACAAAGCACCAATTTAAAAGTAGGAAGGATCAAACTTGTGGCCTGTTCTTGTCACAGTGCAAGAGCGAGGGATGGGGTGGGAGGGCAGGGGGGACTTTAGCTAAGGCTTTCGAAACCGTCTCCTCCAGGACTCTTCTCACCCGGACGATCAGACTTCACGATCAGCTATTATCCCATTTACTGAAGGAGACTCGTTGAGGGAAAAACTGCTGGGACAAAATTTTGCGGAGTAGCGTGTTCCAGACGTTCGGTTGGTGAACGGAGCGAATAATAAACGGCGTGATAATAGCGGCAGAGCGAAAACGAGGGAAGTTCTGATCGGTTCGCGTAGAGAATGTAGTTCATTACGAGACCCGACCCAACCTCCCTCGTTTTTAACTCAAGCCAGGGCTCGAAATTAGCACTCGCAAACTCGCGAAATGCGAGTGGTTTTTCGAAGTTGCGAGTCTAAAAAATATCCTCTAGCAAACATTTGCTAGTTAGGTTCCTTCTTTTGCTAGTAAAAAAAATCTTACTAGCAAAACTTTGCTAGTAGACAAAAAAGTTAAGTTCGAGCCCTGCAAGCCAGTTTTTATTTTACTCCTCCGCTACATTCGCGCTGTTAACAATCGCGCTTCGTTTTCTTAACCCTTTACACCCTAACATCAGCATGCATATTCTCCATACTTTTCTTATACATTTCTAAGGGTTCTGAAAAGAAGAATTTGTTTAAGAATCAAGAGTTTCCTGCGTTGTTGATCATTTCCATAATTCTCATGACCTTAATGTTTTATTCAGGGATGATATTGTAAGAAGAAATTAGATGCCAGTCACTCTTAGGGGTTAAAGGGTTAACTGACTGCTTGTTGTTAGAGTGCAATTGCTGAGTGAAAATGTTTGTTATAAATATTCCTTCACGGAGGAAATTATTGACAGATGAGGAAAATTTATTCATGTTTGGAATTTTTTTCAGGTATTCAGTGAACGAGGGCCGCTGTTGGTTCAAGCATCCTTTTACAAACCGCGACTTCACTGTCACCGGGTTGGTCACAGAGCCGGGTGGAAAAACAATGAGGTTCAGTTTGTGGGGATTTACTTTACCTTCAAGAGAGTGGCAGGTTATCACTGTGGACTTTGAGAACGTACTCAAAAGAGCTTGTAAGTTGCCAAAGTTTGCTGGTTTTCGGTGAGACTCCGCGCGCCTTGCCTAAGAACAGAAGGTGATAAATACCATTGGGATTTCAGGAAGGGGTGCGTTTTGTGGTTGGTCCAGAAAACACACGCCTCTTTCTCAACCAATGGCGTTATGGCCACTCGCGTTTTCCCTTGCGTTACTTCGCCCGCCGATTGGTCCAGAAATCACGCACCACCATCTCGACTAATCAGATACAAAGCTAAAACCAATCGTGTCCCGGCCACCCGTGTTTTCCCGCGGTTTAATTCGGTCGGTGATTGGACAAGGAATTTCCTGCCCAATTTCGAACAAAATGTAGAAAACATTTAAAAAGGCTTAACTTTTCTTAAAAAGTTAAAAATTTTTATTGATGGTGAATGTTTTTAAGCAGGGTTGCCTTTTTTTATTTTGGCGTTGCTGCACAAACAAAGAATTTAATTTCGCTGATTCGTGCGTTTTACAGGTTATATTAATGATAACTGAACACTAAAATGGCTTCCTAAGACGTTGCGCAACTGTGTTCGTTGTTAATCTTTCTTATAAAAGAAAATTTTGGCTGTTTTATTGTAAACAAGTAAGCGCTTGTTTCCTCTTAAAGTTAGGGATTAATTGTGTTTTCAGAAGTTGCAGAAATCAATCCTTAATTTTACTCGGCCTCATGCGATTACATACTCCAATCAATTGCAACTTCGTATTCTCTCGTGTTTCCCGCGCTCGGAGCCGGTCACATGTATTTACCCTGAATCCTTATTGGCTTTCTTTTCCATTTCCCTTTGCTTTGATTGGCCGTTGAAATCATTTGAAATGGCTCCTGATGGATGTTGTTTTTCTCTAGGTAAAGACGACGATTACGAAAAGTGGATACCTCACGGTAAAGGGGCGAAAAACGGATGCTTGCTGGGTAGAAAAGTTTACATTCTAAGACCAAAGAAAGAGAGTCTGTAAGGAAATAATTTTGACTTTTATCTACATACATGACCGTACGGTCTCCTCTCTGATGCCTAAAGATATAAAACTCCAGCGTTAAAACGCATTTACAAATTAAAGCAACAGAGCGGTCAAACATTGGGCATGCGCAAGGGGATCAATTTTGACCGGACGCGCGTTAATTTCCCGCGTAAAATTTCAAATGGAAATGTTTAAGAAAGAAGCGTTGACACGCCAGATACGCGAAACTTAGTACTAGAGGAAAGGTATAGACAGTAGATCTCGTTAGTTATTCTCCTTACTGTTAGCCATACAATTCTGATGATGTTAGTTCGGAGAAATTGGTATTGGATCAAATAATAATCCCCTAATTGATATTTTTCTCCTTTCTCATCACTTGTCGTCTTAATGTTGTATTGATGTTCTAAGGAGAAATTCTGTCTTGGTCACTCATGAGATTTAAAGGGTTTAAGATTGTTCACGAGGGTTAGTTAGCTAAAGTATTTTAACTGTTGTTTGTTGCAGTTGTTTTAATGGAGTGGATTATATCCATCATGAAAAAAGTGAATGCTGTGAGTGTACACACGATGATATTGAATGGTAAGGCAGCAAAGAGTGCAAGGGAACATATCATAGTTTGTTCCAGGCGTTCAGTTTGTGAAACGGAGCGAAATAATGAACGCCGCGATAGTCACGGGGGAGTTAAAAAAACGGGGGAGGTTTGGGTCGAGTGGCATTGCGCTACCCGACTCAGACTTCCCTTGTTTTTCAACTTTCCGTTTCTATTGCGTCATTTACCATCTTGTTTCGTTTTGTTTAACTGAATGCCTGGAGCTGGCTAAAGATATCAGAGCTCATGCAGAATCTTCGAAAACAACGTAACCAATATATATATATATATATATATATATATATATATGTTATGGTTCTACCCTAATTGTTTGTGCAATTTGTTGAATTCCAGTTAATTTTAATAACTCTCTCTGGAGGGCTCTAGTGTATGTGGAGTAGTGGAGGGAAAAACCAATGGGCAAATACGAAACATGAAAGCCGCACACGGAGTGGGGTCGAAATGACGTGTGATACTTCTCGCTCCCAGTTTCCACGCTGTTTCTTAAATGTTGTTGTTTTTTTTTCACCTGCTCAACGGAAATAGTCTAAAACGAAGGAATGTTCATGCTTTAGTTATGAACTGAATTGCGCCCCCGAAAACCCCGTGGAATACCCTTCATTGAACAGTTTATTGCCGCGTTGATGGATTTGCCAATATTTTGTTCTTTTCGTTTTTTCTTTTTCCTCAGCGACTACGGCTATCATCCAAATGGAAATGATTGCGTGAGGGACGAACACAAACCTCCAGAGCTTTGTATACATGGTGACGTGGAAACAGACAATTTAGGGTCAGTAAGGCTTGTGTTGTGTGATTTTGCGGTATGACACTGCGCATCCATATGGCGCATAGATTCACGCGTGACCAGAGTGACGAATTATGGTATATTGTGGCTTTGTCGCGACAATAGCAAATCAGTATTGTGATTATGCTGTTTTAAAAAATTCATGTCGTGACCGATCTTTGTCAGTTTGGCTTGTGTGTTGCTTGATAAATGAAACTATTGGATCTGAAGAAAATTTGGCCGCTAGTGACGTCATCTAGGCCGTCGTCTGTGCCGTCATCTGTTCTCCAATAGATCATAGATAAGAACCAATAAAACTGCCTGTATAATTCAGCTAAATATATAATATAATTTGTTGTAGATATCGACGTATTCCAGGTGATCAGTGCTGTGGAGGTGATCCTATTGTGAATAAGTATTTAGACTCACAGCAGCTCTGTAAAAATGCTTCATGGTACGAATACGGGATGAATTATGACTATGAGGCAAAATTTGCAAAGAAGGTAAGGACGCCGTTTTTTTATATTATTTTATTCAATCGCTTGGGAGCGGGTCTTTATTGTGAGCGCTACGGCACCAGTCTTTTTTTCACCCGCGGGAAAAGTATAACGGCTTCAGCAACGCGAGCTGGCGAGAGGTCTGCAGGGGGTCTGGTACTGATGATGATTATTAGTGCCAGACCCCTTGCATACTTCTCCTCGACGCGTCTCAAATCTACAGGGCTCATAATGAATAATGAATATTCGAAGAGTTTAAGGATTTCCACTTCAGAGGAAATCCTTTTAGTATCTAACTTTTTTTAACTTTGTCGTTAGATCGCCGTGGACTTTTTTATACTGCATATTATGTTTCACTGCCGAGCTATAAAATTTATCATTATTTTATTTACTCGAGGCTTTCGACATTGTCGATCCTAGCAGTATGCATGACGTGTTTCCATATGAATCAAATATTGGCCTAGCTAACCTTAGCTTGAGATCAGGCCCTCATTATTGGCGCTGCAGGACGCGCTTTTCTCTGTCCGCGGAAAGATTTGAGACGACTCGGAGAGAAGTGTGAAGGGGGTCTGGCACTAAAAACTTATTATAAGTTCCAGACCCTCTCGGCCCACGTTCCTCAAGGTCATATCCTTCCCACGGACGAAGAAACGGTCATGCTCAAGCACTATTCGGCAGGCTAAGGTCATCTTAGACTGAATGTTTCTAGTGGTCATAGTTCTTTTCCCCGTTTACTTGCCACTCACTCACGCATCACAGATACCGAGGCAGTGTTTCAACATAGTTAAACGGAATTCTTGATATATTAACCCTTTCAATCCCTGGAGTGACCAAATATGAGTTTCTCCTTACAATACCAATACATTTTTAAGCAGAAGGGTGACGAGAAGTAAAGAACTTATCAAGCATGGGATACCATTTGAGTTCACACCAAATTCTCAGACTTAAAATTATAAAAAATATACGGCAGACAGTGTGGAGAATCAATCATCAGATCTTTTTCTTTTCTATCTGTAGAAGGCGCACAGTAAAGGTGCGGTATGGATAGTCTTTCCTATGGTTTTGATTTTGATTGTGGCCGGTGTGTACTTTGGCAGAAAATACTGGAAGGTTCATAAAATGTAAGTGCATTTATATCTTACACGATGTGATATAACCTCTGTTTCAGATAATCTCTATTCAGTGGAAATTTTATTTACATCAAACAAACTTGAATTCCAACCGCGAAAAAAAAAATATGTACCAAGTCTGCTTATCGTATGATCCTGTCGTTCTCAGTCACACAATCGTACGGAATAACAAAATTGAAAAGGATAAAGGAAAAATCTCCAATAAGTTACTTGCAGTGCCCCCTTTCCCCCCTCAACAATATTGCCTGAAACTAGTGACCATTTTGTTAACTCCAGGTAACACTGAAATGGGAGAGAGGGAGATGGAAATAAAGGTTTTGGAAAAAATCTAGAAAGTAGTGGTGCGTGCCAAGAATTTTCCAACTCATTGTAACCTGGAGTATCTTGAGGAAATGTCGCATTACAACTTTTGTTTTGTATCATTGCAGCCGCCCCTCTTATCGCTACTCTAAACTTTCTCAAGACGACGTGGAAGAAATGGAGGGCTCTGAGAGTTTCAAGTATGATCCCAGACCCAAAGGATTGCGGGCGTATCGAGATTGTGATACCAGTGATGATGTAAGTGCTGCCTTTGCTCTTTTCGTATCATGAAGACGAATGCTTTTTTGAAGAGGTGAAAGGGGGGGGCAGGCTGGAAGAATTTGGTTGTATCGCTATAAATTGTGCTTGATCCCTCTCCCCCCCTCCCCAGTCAATTTTCTTTAGTCCTCCCTTTATACTCTGACGAATTTCAGATAGGGGTTTCCCTTGAGTAGTAAGTTTCAATCCTGCCCCATTGGAAGGGAGGTGGTAAGAGATTGAGGGAGGGGGGTAGTGGTGGGGTTTACAGAGAGAATTCCAGCGCTCACGGAACCACTCAGGTTTGTAACGAAATCTTCATTTAACTTCCACAGGATGCAGCAATGATCGACCTGTGAGCCTGATGTGGAAGCTTTCTGACACCAAGATGTACATATAGTTTAAGCATAATGATAATTGTAGACTAGAAACATCTGGCAAAATGCATGTCATCCTAGGCAATAATAGACGTAAAGGAAGGATCACTGTCAGTGGCTAAGCAACTGCAGACCAACCCCTCCCCCAACATTAGCCTTAATTTGTTATCAGTTGAATGTTTTTGGAATAGGGGAGGGGTAGGTGCGCAGCGCTTGAGATACTGACATGGATCATAAAGGGACAAAGTACTTATGTAGATTAGTTTTTAAGGATCGTAAGTTATCACGTGGATATAACTATAAAGTGTTAAAAAAGGAAAGTTTCGTGATACCTTTGTAGAGGATCACTGAAAATCTCATTATTTATAAGCGCAAGAATCTTAGCTTGATTGATTGATTTGATTGTAAGGAAGCTTCGCACAGAATCATGTACCTTGCGTACAAAATAAGACAACTGTATTTATGGATCTGTCACGCGATGCGAACAACATGACTACAAGCCAAGCTTGGGTATTTAAAGTGTTAGCTTTATTTTGGAGATTGTTAATATTCATTATCTGCGTGTCGATGTTTATTTTCATGAGTATAGTACCTAGTCACCAATATTATTGATTAGCTGTGATAATTTTTAAACGTAACAAAGAATATTTTTCAATTGAGTGTCTTTGGCTATCTGGGAATACACTTTGTGTCCTCACTACCCCTCTGAGATTGAGCAAGAAAACCATTCAGCTGCCAGACTTAAACCAAACGCGTCTTGCTCACTATCGTTTTCCCGCCCTTCGGTCCAGTCACATTTTGATTGGTTCCTGGAGATATTCATCTTTGCTCTGATTGGCCGTTCTGACCACCTTGGATGGCTTTATGACACTCAATCGTTAAAGGCCCTAATGTATTCTTGTTGAATGTAATTGGATGGCGTTGCATCCTATTTACAATGTCACGCGATAATTGTTCCTCTTTGAATTTGCTACAGAAGAAGAACTCCTTTAGAAACCGAGGTCCTTTACCTCGCTGTTTCTGACGGTGTCTGTAATATGCGTGAAGAAATTTTGCAGAGAATTGCAATGTTGCCGATTATGCATATCAATTTTGGTATAGACCCACCTCATTTTGTAGAAAATAAACTTATCAGTGTTTTCGTTGATATGCAGCATTTAATTCTGTTTTCTTCTCTTAGAGTAGCTGAGCCTTATAAAACATATCAATTGTTTAATCTGAGATCACATGCAAAGATATGTTTTGTACGCTCCGCTTAGTTTCGCCTCCTTATTTCTAAATGCTGCAGCTTGAATGCCAACCTGTGACTTGCGAGTAGCAGGCGATGAGATGAGTAACGAGAATGATTTGAGGAATCGCATGGGAGCGAAGAGTTACTCATGGACAGTATGAAACTCTGTACTTCCATTCCCTCCTTGCGCGCCTTTTCCCTTGGTCCGAGAATCTCATTAGTTATTCTCTCTTGTAACCGTCTTCTTTTTACTTATGGATCAGTTTTGAGAATTTTGTGTTTTTATTCCGAAATCACAGGATTTTTTTTGAAACAAAAACAGCTTAAAGTAAGCTACGAAATATTTCTTTCCAGCAGGAGCTTTGGTTTTCATATCCCCACGGGAGGGGGAAGGGGGAGGGGGGGGGTTATCATTTTTGCGTCCATTTTATCGTTAATGCACAGATTTTATCATACTCTCTCTTGAAGGAAGAAAAAATGAGTCAACTTAATTTGGTCTTTTTAAGCTTTATCTCAGCAGAATAGCAATGTTTCATGTTTATTCGTAGCTTCGTTGCTCAAATATAAAAATTTCAAAATAGTACTGCTTTGGTTTAATTAATTTGCTTGTTTTATACTGAAATCTAAGTTGTCTAGGTGTCTGAGTATTTGAAAAAAGTCTAAGTCGTTGAGTTACACAATTTTCATTTGCAAATTTGTTTTTCAATCTATTTTCAATTTCAGAGCACATTCCTAGAGATAATAGTTCTTGCAATATTAATGTAATCACCGTCCTCTCTTCTTTTCATCGTACACAATTCCTACATCTCCTTCGTTCTTGATAAGCTGGCAGAGCGTGCAAAGGAAATTCCGTGACAAATCTGTGACGTATCAGCCTTCGATTGGGTTAGGTTGTTAATCCATATTCATCAGAAATTGTGCAATTTTCAGCAAACTTCGCTTTTCCACTTAAGAGTGAACATTTGTCCTCCCGTTGTGCTCAAGAAGAAATGATTCCGGTTGAAATAAGACCTGTACAGATGAGAAACAGCAGTTTTCTGTTATTTCAACAGAAGGTGAGCTTTCCATCTTAAAAATGTTGTCTTTAACTCTTTCAGGGAGGTGAAGGAGTCTTATCATCGTTGTTTCACGCGTCAACAAGTATTAGCTCCTCGGTCTGAGCAGCTTTTCGACTCAGATCGATTGAGTAAGGATGCTGACCTCCACAGAAACACGACCTATGGTTCTGGTATATTGAATTGCATAATGTCTCTTGGTTGGCGTAAATTACGAAGTTACACTGAGAGGGGACGAGATTTTGTAGTTGAACACTGCCACGTGGAATTTTAAAGAGTTGTGGTTGGCGAATTTCTTCCCTACAGAACTTTTGCATAACAAAAATAATGCAAAATATTTATTTTGATTTTGTATTTCTTCGTAAGATGTTTTTTTAATCTCCGTGTAAGTTTAAACAGCTGGCAGGCGCCTGATCTTAATGATAATTTTTTCAGAGAGAAATTAGTGATATGAAGAATGATGGTCAAGCGAACGAACCGGAAGCACTGGGCATAAAGACGATAGGGAAAAAGATAAGAATTTTAAAAGTTTTGCAGTAACAGCAGTAAAAATGGTGGCTGTCTATTTCATATCCGAGCTTTTGATAACTTTTCACTTAAGCTTCACCAACTGTTTGATGTTGTTCCCTCTGGCTCCCGCTACAAGAGGTTATTTCGCAACAAGCCACCATTTTTGAATTAATTTTGTAATGGTACTGATTTTTCAGCAGACTTAGCTATAGCAAGATTCATTTTTTCTCCTTTTCTTGCTCTAGTTTAGACACATTTATCTCAGAAAGTTTCGTGTCATTGAGGCAGTTGAACATTGATTGGTTGCTTAACAGTCAGTACCAAAATAATTTCTCAATTGATGTTACGAAAAGGTGATTTTTTTAAGGTGGCACTGTAACAAAATACCCTATACGAGGGCTCAACGAAATTATAGAATTGGAATCTTGAGAGAAATGTCATGAATTGACCTTTTTAAATTTATACCAACAATTGCATTGACTGAAAAACCACACTAATGACTCGTATCCTGCAAATTTATAACCTTTAGCACGACTGTTTTCGAGGAACAAACTCTAAAAAGCCATTGTTCTACCAATCCAATAACTAATCCTTCTCACATATATGAGAAAAAATATTGAGCGCCCTACAGACGACTTCCTCTTGACCTTAACATTTTCAACGTACCGCACGAAAAAATTAATCTTGACCGTCAGACCATGCTAGACTACAGTCGAAAGAGAGCAACTTGTTTACGCATTTGCATGACTCGTGACTTGGGTGACTTCCAATCTCCCCGGTGAAACTCAAGTCGCTTTACTGACATCAGCACTTATTCGACAAGACAGGCCTCGCTACATGATCGAATACTAAATTTGTGCAAATAACTTCTCTAGTTTCTTCTCAGTTTTTTTAGCAAAACTTGGCCATAAGAAACTTCTGAAAAAATTATCCAAGTGAAAACCAAAATGATATTTCATTCCTGAAGTGAATCGGATCAACAAGTTAATTTTGATCAACAAAGAGGCCTTTGGTTGTCAAATTAGGACAAAAAACAACACAGTACCATCTAAAGATTTGTATTCTACCGCTCTGTTGCATCAACTGAGGTCAATTTAACTCAGGAGGACATTGGCTCTAAAGAAACGAGCAAATGAAGAAAAAAATGAGCATTGCTTTCAGGTCTACGTTTTTATTTTATTTCTTATAGTTTACAATTTCCCTGATATTTTAAGGTTTGCGCCAATGTTCTCTTGTTTTTTTTAGAACTCTACTAATGCCTAGTTTACCTGAATTTTAAAAAAGCAAACAAACAAACAGACAGCAACGCAATATTCGGTAACATTTTTACATAAACCAGTTTAAAAGGACTTCACTTACTGACAAAGAAATTTCATATTTTTAATGCCTTTTGAGATGATTTCAATCGATGGTTAATGTTTTCTTTGACAAATCGTAGAAATGATGGCTCTCACATTGAATGATGGGAAATTTGTAAATGGTCAGTTCAGCAGTCAACAAAGAATTGAAAAAAGTAACTGCGTCGTATTCAGGTTGTTTTCGAGAAATCTTACATTTTGATCCTTCGAGGAAATCATATTAGATGAAAGTGAGAATGACAAATGTTTTCACTTTTTTAGACAAAATTCTTTCATTTGCTTCTTGTTTCAAATTTTTAATTCAGAAGCTTGTTTTAAAATTGGGCGCTTGCCACTAACAAACTACTTCCTTTAAGCGTGCTTCGTGCGTTACGAGTGAAACAGATCTTAATAAAGACTACGCAAAAAAAGCCAAAAAATAGAAAGATTTTATTGGACTCAGTATTCACGCCGAAATGATTCAAAATGCCAAATTCCTTTTATCAATATCTTGTTTGTGGTATGTCTTCACACATTAACGACGAAGAATCAAGGAAAGTATATACTCTTGCGCTCATAGCAGTTTGAAATTTGAACCGAACACAGAGATTTAGTAAAACGTACAAAACCTGAAATGCAAATGAATGGGTTCAATTTGATTTTAGAAAATCAACCGTGTTACATTGTCTCATTCTGTTTAGAACTCAGTTAGTCGAAAAGGCAAAATTGTAGCTGAAACTATGTCCTTATACACTCATGGCTGTTTGAAATTTAAAGAAACACGATGATTTTGCCAAACGCACAAAACCTGAAATGCAAATTAATGGTTCAATTTTTTTCTTATATAAT